AACCCTAACCCTAACCCTAACCCTAACCCTAACCCTAACCCTAACCCTAACCCTAACCCTAACCCTAACCCTAACCCTAACCCTAACCCTAACCCAAACTCTGCCCTCTAAGGTATATAAGGAGGGCCTCCCCCACCCCCACATGTAGATAGTCAGTTCTGATCTTGCATTGTCACACCCTCCTCTCCGGCAAGGGTCTAGGTTCTTGACTAGGCTTCCAGAGCTTACTCAGATCCTGCGTGGCTGCCTGCCAGACTCCTGTTGCCTTCCTCCTGGGCCTTGCCCACGTGACAGATGCCTGATGAGGAAGAGGAAGGCGGCGCTGCGGCGTTGCACGGCAACGAGGCGCGCGCGGCGCGCCAGATTGGGCAGCCGCACTCGCCCCGCGCGCACAAGCCACGCGACACCCCGCATCGCCTCAAATCGCGCGTCGTGCTGCACTCGCCGCACTTGCTCATCCAGCGCAGCGCCGCATGCAACTGAGGATGATCTGGTCAAGTCGCCTCTCTCGCCTCGCACTGCCAGCAGCCACCCCTCCCCCCCTCCCTCTCTCCCGCCGCCGACGCTCTCGTCACGCGTGTAGCAATCCATTGCGCCACCTCCATCCCGCCACCCATCCCACTACTCGCCGGCAAAGAGACGCTTGACGCTGCGGCGTGTGTCAGCACGTGCTCGACACATGCGCAGCCGCTCGCCACTCACAGATACGTGATGCAGCCGACGAGGCGGATGCCCGCGAGCGCGGCGACGCTGTAGAGCAGAAACGCTGCGCCGCAGTCGAGTCAGCACTGGCTGCGGCGTCCCCGCAGTTCGTCCTCCCCCTCCGTTCGTCTTTCCCATCCCCGACGTCGTCTTCCTCCTCCCCGCAGCTGACGGTCTTCCCCTGCGTCGTCTTCCCCCTCCCCTGACCGTCTTCCCCGGCGTTGCCTTCCCCATCCCCGCAGTTTGCCTTCCCCTACGCCCCCGTCCCCGCAGTTCGCTCCCCTCGCAACTCGCCATCTGACACGCACCCATGTACGTGAGGCGCACGCGGTTCGACTCGACGTTGAGGATGCCGATGCCGAGGCCGGCGTTGGTGAGCGACCAGAGGAGCACGACGTTGGTGCGGATCTGCGCGGGCCGTGAGCATGCCGCCGTAGGTGACGCCTTGTTTGGCGCCTTGCCGCCGCCGGTGTTGCCCCGCCTTGTCCTCTCTCACTCACCGTCGCGTAGTAGTCCTTCTGCTTCGTCTCGGCATCGACCGTGCGCACCTCGACGGGCGCCTTCGTCGAGAGCACGTGCACGGCGTCGTCGTACGCCGAGTTGAGGTCCTTGCTGTCCGTCGGGATCGCGACGTCGACGGTGTTCTTGCCGCCGGCGTTGCCGACGACGCCGAGGTCCGTCTCGACCTTGTCCGAGCCCTTGGTGCCCCACGACACGTCGTGCCTAGCGAGAAGCGTGAGCGGCGGCTGTGCGCGGCTGTGCGCGCCCTCTGCAGCGAACCCTTCGAGACGCCCGACTCACACGTTGCAGAACGCGTAGATGTTGATGACGTTGACAAACGACGGCGCCATGAGCAGGTACTGGATGATCGACGTGAACATGTGCCACGGCTCAAACTGCGCACGAGTGTCAGCGAGCACTCGTCTGCGATGCCGAACCCTCTCCAGCCGGAGCCCACCCTCCCTGACCCACTCACGAACAGCAGGCTCGCAATCAGCCAGATGCCGTACGTCGCCGCGAGCGACACGACGATGTTGACAAAGATCTGGCTGCGCAGCAGCGACTCGGCGCCGTCGGCGGAGCTGCTCGCGTCCATGATGCTGCGCACGGCGAGGTAGATGGCCGCCGCCTGGGAAAGACGTCAGCCGCCGCAGTTGTCGCGTTTCGCCTTATGGGCTTGCGCTCACCGTCATGTACAGCGTCACCACGGCAAACACGACCATGCTCAGCGTGTAGCCCCACTTGCTGCCCGCCGGGCGGTTGCCCATCGAGAGCAGAAAGCAAAAGATGATGAACGCGAGCTGCGGCAGGGTCAGCGGGGCCGCCGCACGGCGCGCGGCGCACGCACGTAGATGTACGACAGGACTGCGGCGTGTCAGCAGGCGTGCGGGCGTCGCGGACGGCAGACTCACTGATGTTCGGGATGGTGAGCGCCGGCACGAGCTCGGACACGGCGCGCGTGAGGATGTAGAAGGCTGCGGCGCGTCAGTGCGTGCACCAGGCGCGCACGGCTGCGCTCTCGCTCACCAATGTAGAAGTTCGCCATGCCGAACCTGCAGGAGGACAGCACGAGTCAGCACGCCGTCAGCACAGCCCATCTCGCGTCCGGCACGGAAAGCTTGTGCTCTGCCGCATCGAGGCAATATGGCTGCACTCACCACGAGAAGAGGAGCTGGATCGTCTGGTACAGCAGCTCAATGTGGATGAAAAACTTGCGCCAAAACGAGTGCGACGAGCGGTAGATGTACGCAAAGTGCACAATCGAGTGGATGCCCGCGAAAAAGGAGCCGTTCAGCCAGCGCCGGCGCTGCGAGATGAGCTCGGGCACCTGCGACGGGAGGAGCAACAGGTCAGCTGCCGCACATCTCACACACCTGACACACCGCTGCTGCGCACCTGGTCCGGCACGTCCGTCACCGCCTGCGCCGACTTGACGTAGTGCAGCACCCACGCCGAGTCGCGCTTCGAGCACAGCTCCCAGCACAGAATGCGGTCCCTGCTGGCGGTGAGCGAAAGTGCATGCCACTCGCCTCGCGCCACTCACTCGGCGAGGTACATGTTGCTCTGGAAGATGTCCGCGTCGGCGTTGCCGCCGTGCAGCGTCTCGCCCTTGAAGTAGCTCGCGAGCGGGCCCTGCCCGGTCGTGTCGTTCTGGAGCGCTGCGCGGGGTGTCAGCCGCCGTCGCGAGAGTCGCCGCCGGCCTGCGCACCGATGTAGCGATATCTGCGGGCACGTCAGCACGGCCAAGAGTGGTTTCTGCCTTGCCACTCACGCGGAAAAGGCGCCCGGCAGCACCGAGATGAAGCCAAAGACACTCTCGAGCGGCTTGTCGAGGATGTTCGACATCTTGTACTCAAAGTTCTGCGCGCTGCGAGTGGCCGCCGATCAGCACATGATGCCACATGCCGTGGCTGCCACTCACGCGACGAGCGGGTTGAAGATGCCCTGGCCGTACTTGCCCTTGAGCGCGACGATCTGCAGCACCGTCAGTCAGGTGCTCGCCAGCACATGTCGCTGATGAGAGGGCTCACCTCGCCGCACGCGCCCGCCACGTTCGAATTGATGTCGAACGCCTTCCACAGGTGGTAGATGCTCTTCGGGCGCGGCATCGTGCCGACGTCGAGCAGCACGCACACGTTGGGCTGCAGCACGGAGCCGAACGCTGCGTGGTGCGTCAGCGGCAGTAGACACGAGCCGCAGTGTTTTGCAGCTTCGCCTCGCCTCGCCTCGCCTCGCCTCGCCTCGGACATCCTCCTCACCATTGAAGAACCAGCGATGCGAGTTGATCTGCGGCGCGTCAGCGTGGCCCATCACCACCCAGTCGCACCTCGCACCTTCTTCTGGTTGCGCTCCTTCAAGCAGAAGAGGATCTGCACGGGCATGATGCCCTTCTCGCGCCCGCGGAACTTGAGCGACGGGTCGACGGACAGCTGCGCGGTGTACCTGCGCCGCGTCAGCACCGCCATGGCCTGCCCCGCCGCGCCACTCACTCGTAGATGTGCGCCGTGACGGGCTTGCCGTTGACGACGTTCTTGCCGACGCCCTCCTGGTATACGCCCATCGCCGCGAGCACACCTGCGGTGTGTCAGCCGGGCATGTCTTGTGATGCGCTTCGCGTCTCCCCTCGCCCTCTGCATGGCCCTCGCCCCTCCTCGCACTCACTCAAAGTGCGGCTGTTGATCTTCATCCGCCCGTCGCTGACGATGCACACCACGACCTTCTTCCAGCCCTCCTTGCCCCACGTCTTGGAGCGCTCGCGCGTGCACAGATGCGCAATGTTCGTCATGACGCCGTGCATGGTGCGCGTAAAGAGCTCCTCGTCTTCCTGCGGGCGCGTCAGGAGGCATTAGCTCTGCGGGCCCTCGTGGCGCACACCACGCACCCGCCAGCACCCACGTTATACATCGTCAGGACAATAAATAGCTCCGTCCGCCGCGGCGGGTCGAAGAGCACCTGGCGCAGCGTGTAGCGCTCGTCCTTGAACTCGTCCGGGTCGCACGTCGCGGCCGTGTAGCGCATGTGCGTAAACTCGCGGCTCTCGCGGTCGTTGAGGCGGTCGAGCAGGCGCCCGGGCACGGGACAGTCGAGCACGAGATTGCCGTGGTACAGCTCGACGCGCTTGAGCGTCTTGTACCGGCGCGGCACGCGCTGCGGGATGCGGCCGTAGCGGATGCCCGGCGCAGCGCCCTCCTCGAGGAAGCCGCCGGGCATCGGGCTGCCGCCGACGTCTGAGCCGAAGCGGCCGCGGCGCGGCGGCGCCCCGCCGTCCTCGTCGTCCTCCTCGTCGGGCGCAAAGCCGCCGACAAACTGCGGGCCCACGTGGTGGCCGTCCTCGTCGAACGCCGACGCCGGCGCGTATGCGTAGCTGCCCGTGCGCGGCAGCAGCGGGGCGTCGCCGCCCTCGCCCGACTCGCGGCGCGGCTCGTCGCCGTAGCCATACCCTGAAGCGCCGCCGTAGGGGGCGCCCGCGTAGCCGCCCTCGTCGCGGTGCACAAACGGATCGCGCCCGTCGCTCGAGCGCCGCCCGGCAGCACCGTACGGCGCCGGCGGCGGATAGGCGGGCGCGGCGGCGTACACGTCGTGCGGCGCCGCGGCATAGCTCGGCTCGGCGTAGTGGTCGTACGGGCCGGCGTACGACGGCTGCTCGGCGGCGCCGTCGGTGTACGACGGGTAGCTGGCGTGCGCCTGCTCCGGCGGATCCGAGTTGAGACGTGCCCGCGGCGGCATGGCAGATGCTGGGGGGTGCGGTGCGGAGGATGTGGAGATGAGGCAAGCGGCAAAGGTGGCAGCGCGAGAGCAACAGCGCGCGCAGCATCAAGAGCACGCGGCGCCTGCGCGCAGAGGCACGCACGCCGTGTTGGACGAGATGGGGCTGTGCAGCGCGTGCACAGCATCGCAAAGTGCCGCTCGCTCGCTCCGGCCGCCCGGCCCGGCAGCTCGCCACGCCGTCGACGCCGAGCAATCGCATTGCGCTGCATGTTTAGACTGATGCTACAACTCTATGCTGAGCTGTCCGCGACGGCCAGATGAGCCCAGGTGAGCGCCGTAGGCGGCGGCACGCTCGGCGCGGCGGCCAACAGGGGCTAGCAGCGCACGGAGCCGCCGCCGCGGCAGGTGCTCCCACGGCCGCGGGGTTTGCTCGCAGGCCGATGCCGTCTGGCGAGCGCTCCTCGGCAGCCGCATGATGGGGCTGACTCTGCGCAGCAGAAAGCCTCATCTCAGCTCACGACAGGCTGCCAGCTCCAGCCTGCTGCGCACACGCCTGCGGCATCGGTGGAGAAAGGGCCTGTGCAGGGCTTTGGGCGGCGAACCGCCCGCAGGCGCCCTCTCCAGTGCAGCGCAAGGGCCCCTGCGCCTGCGTGAGCTGAGCCGCAGGCCCACCGCCAGCAATGTAGCACGTCCAGCTGCAGCAACGGTGCATCTGTCGCGGCAGCTGACAGAAGGCAGCGAGGACGACGTCGGGCGGTGCGGCGAAGCACAAGTGAAGGGTGCAGCGCCGAGCGAGATGCCGCGCTGGCGGCGGGCGGGCACGGCGCCAGTGTACGCCGCCTGTGGCGCCCCGTCCCGCCCTCGCGCCTTGGCCAGGCACAGCATTCAGCGCGCCGCGGCGCGGCGCGGCGCGCGTGGCGTCGCCGCCGCGGCGTGGCGCACCCATCCTCACGACCCTCACCATCCCACCGCACCCCATCCACCATGAGCTCCGAGCCCTATGGTCAGTCGCCGCACACGCGACGCTCGCGCGCTGCCGCAGCGGCCCACTCACGCCCCTGCAGACCCGTACGTGCAGCCCGGCTCGTCGCAGGGCGGCGCCGGCGGCGCCGGCAACCAGCGCACCGCCGCCATCCAGCAGCAGATCGACGAGACGGTGCGCACGCGCGGGGCAGCTGCGCCGAGCTGCATCTGACGAGCGCCTCCTCCCTCACGCAGGTCGGTGTGATGCGCTCGAACCTGCAGAAGGTCTCGGAGCGGGGCGAGGGCCTCAACGACCTGCAGGGCAAGACCGGTGAGTCACACGAGGGTTCAAGGAGGGCGTGCGGCGCCGGCGCACTTCAATGTAGGCGGCAATGCGCTGCGCCACGTAGGCACGTCGCAGGCGATGCGCGCGGCGTGGCGACAAGCAGACGCCTGCGCTGCGCTGCTGCCGAGTCCGCACCGATGGCGTCCTATCCGTGCTCACACGCACGCAGACAACCTCGCCGTCTCGGCGCAGGGCTTCCGGCGCGGCGCCAACCGCGTGCGCAAGCAGATGTGGTGGAAGTGAGTTGCGCCGCGTCTGTCCCATCGCGGCTCCGGCTGACGACAGCGCCCAGGGACATGAAGATGCGCATCATCATCAGTACGTCGGCCGTGCGCGCGTTTGCAGACCACATAGCTGACCCCGCTCTCCAGTCGTCGGCATCGTGCGTTGCCTCTTTGCCTGGTCTGGACCTGCTTGCTCACGCGCTCCCCACAGATCATCCTGCTCTGCATCATCATCAGTGCGCACGGCGTGGTGCGGCGTATGCGCGACCTGCTGACGCGGCGCTCTGGCAGTCCCGATCGTGGTCAAGACCAGCAACAAGTGATGTGCCCGGCCGACGCCTCTCCGCGACGCTCTCCTTCTCTGGTGCCGTCTCCTCCTCATGCCCGCCACGTGCGACGCCGCTCCGGCACTGTGCTCCCTTTACGACATGTATATTGCTTGGCTCCGAGCAGAGTGTGGCGCGGGCAGGTGCGATGCAGAGTGGCAGAGGCAAGTGTGCGGAGAGGCTCTATTGCATAAAAGTACAGCGGGTGGCGGGAAGGGGTCATCGCGAATCGTGGCTCTGGCGGCGGGCGCGCAGCGCGGGGTGCAGGCCGCCGTTCCACAGCCGAGGCACCTCCTGCAGGTGCGGCAGCTCGTCGTGCTCGTCGAGCAGCTGCGGCCGGTCCTTCTGCTCGAGCGAGCCCCACACGGCGAGGTGGAAGGCCCGCGCGAGCTGGCCCAGCAGCCGCAGCGGCGCCGGCACGCGCAGCGAGCCGTCGACCAGCGCGGCCTGGAGCGTCTCGAGGGCCGTCGGCTCCAGCGCGCGGAGGCGTGCCTGGTGCGCCAGCGCCGCCGACGCCACGAGTGACAGCGACGCCGAGCGCGGCCGGAAGTCAGCAGCGCGATCGCCGCCGTGGGGAGACTCGGCTTGCGTCTCCGTCTCGGACTCCTCGGCTACGTCTGCGACGTCACCGGCATGCTGGCTCCTCTCATGAGAGAAGCCGCGGTGCGGAGCGCGCCGACGTGCGGTGCACTCGTCGATCGCCGGCTGCGGCACGGCCAGTGGGCCTGCGTCGTGCAGCACGGCATCGAGCACGTCCTCGTCAGCGGCAAAAACGTGATGCAGCACGGCACGCATGAGCCGCGTGCCCGTGCCCGCCTGCCGGTCAGGCTGGTAGGCCGGTGCGACGGGCGTAGGCGCCTCTGGCTGGGCGGCCAGGCGCGGGCCATTGCCGACGCTGCGCGTCGTGTCCGTAGCGCTGCGCTTGCTTCTCTGGCTGCCGCCGGCCAGACGATGGCGCCGCTTGGGCGCGCGCTTGCGATGTGGCAGCGTGGCAAGGCCTGCGCTCTGCGCGGCAGGCGACTCGGCGAGGAGCGCGTCAAAGGCGGCCTCGTCATCCGCCATCTGCGTGCGGTCGCCGGCAGAGGCCGTCCACTCCTCGTCGGTGAGCTCTGCCTCTGGATGCGGCAGCTGCGATGCGCTGCGACCTTGATGAGGTGCGGCCTCCTGCACGAGACGCGACGAACTGGCCCAGGACGCGACGGCCTCGTCACTCGCACCGCGGCGCGCCACTGCAAAGATCCCGTCAAAGTGCAGCTCGGAGGCGTAGCCGTCATCGTCGGGCGTCAGGCCCGACCACGCCGCAGACGAGTCGGACGGCAACAAAAGGCTCGCGGCGAGATCCGGCGCCTCGTCGGAGAAGCGCAGGACGGACGAGTCGGACAGCAAGGCCGACGAGGCGTGCGATGCGCCCTCCCAGCGATCAGCAGACGCGGAGCGCAGCAGCGCCTGTGGCGACAGCTCAGCCTCGTCGTCCGCCTCGTCGTCGGACAGCACAAAGCGGCCCGTGCCGTCGTGAAGCGGCGGCAGCGTCAGGGCAGATGGACTGGCCGTCTTGGGCGCGCCGGATGTATGCCGAGATACTGCCATCCCAGAGTCAGCATTTGCCGTCGACGGCTGGAATCCGCTGCAGCAGGCGCACGCGAGGCCCCGCGACAGCAGCGCGGGCCTGCAAGCACCGAGACGTTGCCTCCACTCACAGTGGCGGGCGACGTCAGACATCTCGTCGGCGGACAGCGCCTCCTCTGCGAGCAGCGTCCACTCGCTGCGCGCAGACGAAGACGCCTGTGGTGATGCCCGTGCCTTGTCGGCTGCGCGCCCGGGGAACACGACGTTCCAGTCGAGGCTCTCGCGCAGGCCCGCGTCGGACGGGCTGCCGCGGCGCCGCTGCTGCGGGCGCGCAGACTCGGCGGCGCCGACGCTGAGCAGCGACGAGCTGGCAGATTGGCGTGCGCTGTGCGAGGCGTGCTGCGCCGTGCCCGGCTGGCCGAGCGTGGTGCTGCTGCTGCTGCTGCTGGCGGACGGCGCATGCTGCGCAGGCGGCGCACGGCCGCGGCCGCGCTGCGTGACGAACGCCATTGCGGAGTGTAGTCGAGAGAGGCAAGCAGCTGGTGTGTGAGAGGCAGCTGGCGGCCGTGTCGGTTGAGGGGTGGTGGTAGCTGGACAAGCTGTGACTGACGCCTGCGAGAGCCTCTCAGGGCGCGCGGGGGTGGCGTCATCCATGCTGCGCCCCAGCAGCGCCCTCGAGCAGCGCACCCTGACGCGCCCGGCGCGCTGAGATAAGTCGAGTTGCGCCGCCGTGTGCGGCGGCGGCGCTTAGCGCGTGCCGTGCCCGCCCCCGTTGCGTGGGCCCTTGCGCTCTGGCCCTGCCACGCGCCTCGGGCTCGCTGCTCGCACCCACACCCGCTCCTCGCTCGCTCGCGCTTGCGGGCCAGCGCTTCTGCTTGCGTGCTCCCCGCGCCGCCCGCCGACGTAGGCCCGCGCTCGCGGCACCGCACGGCGCCGACGCCGCACCCACACGCCGTACCCGCAGCCGCCGGCACAAAGATCCAGCTGATTACAGCAGATCTGCGCTATCGCGGCGGCCACGCGTCGCGGGAGGACGTGGGGGCGAGGACGGCGACAGGTCGGCGCATCCGCACGTCGAGCGCCTCCATCGCAGCACAGCGGACGCGAGTCTGAAGGGTGACAGGTGCAATAATGAGGCGAAAAAGACATCTAGGAGAACGCGGAGGCAGAGGCGGATCGGAGACATGACCGGGCGATGCGCCTCAGCCCTCGAGCGCGCGCACGATGCCAAACGACGCCGCGGCGGCAGAGGCGCCGACGAGCAGCGTCGAGATGGCGCCCCAGGCCAGGCCCTTGGCGTCGCTGGCGCCGCCGGTGAACTGCTGCTTGGCGACGCCGAAGAGCAGCAGGATGACGCCCGTGATCACGATCGACTGCGCGGCGCGTCAGCGCCAGTGCTGGCCACGCATCCGCACAACTCACCCAGATCAGCGCGACGTGCACGGCGGGGATGAAGATGTACGGCAGAAGCGGGATGCTGCGGGCCCGTCAGCGGCAGCACAAACCCAGGCAGGGCACAGCACTCACAAGCCGCCAATGAAGTAGCTCGCACCGATGACCAGCGCGCTCTGCCACACACGCGCGTCCTCGACCTCCTCGAGGTGCTCGCCGAGGCGCAGGATGAACGGCGTCAGGCCGCGGCTCGGGCCCGTGAGGCCGTCGCTGCGCACCGCAGCGGCGGCAGGCGGGGGGAGCTCGCCGACCGGCGTGCCGCACTCGTCGGCCTCAACACGCTGCAGCCGCGCGGCAACCTGAGAAGCCAGCTCGGCGGGCACGCCGTACGGGCCGAGGATCTCGATGACCTCGCGCTCCATCTCGCCCGAGCACGAGCGGCGCACACGCTCAGACGTGGCGCGCGACTGGAAGCGGTAGTGCTGCACCTCGGCCTGCGCACTGAGCAGGCCGCCGACTCCCATCGAGATGGCACCGGACACCTGCGGCGGCGACATCAGCTCCAGGCGGGCGCGCCACAGACGCTGCAGACGCGCGACTCACCAGCTCGGCCATGCCAGCGACCACCACGATGCGGCTCGAGCCGATGCCGCTGAGGCCGGCCGTGAGCGCAAACGGCACCTGCGCCAAGGGTCAGCCACGCGCCGTGCTGAACACACGCGCCACGCACCGTCAGGCCGTCGCTGAGGCCGATGATAATGTCGCGCACAATGTCCGGGTTGAGCAGATGGCGGTCCTCGGCCTTGAGGTCGCGGCAGCACTGGTTGCGCCCGCCGCAGCGCGCCTCGCACGTCACGGGCGCCTCGTCGTCGTCGCCGAGCGTGCCGGTGGCGCTGCCCGGCGCGCTGCTCTTGTTGATGAGCGGCGCATGCTCCTCGCTGGCTGCGGCCGTGCTGGTGCTCCAGATCGAGGCCCGCTCGGCGGCCAACTTCTTGGCGCGCGGCGGCAGGCGGGCCGAGGAGGCGCCCGAGGCGCAGGCGGCCTTGGCGTCGGCGCCGCAGGAACAGTTGTCGCAGGCCATGGGAAGATGCGGGATGTGAGGATGGTGGGGTGGTGAGAAGAAGCGGGCACGCCTTGCAGCGGCAGCGCGGGTCCACGCGCACGCTGCGTGCTGCCCGCGAGGCGGCGCGCGCCAAATTCGCAAGCCGCGGCGGCCTGCGGCATCTGCGGCATGCGCTGCGCCGGCCGGGCTGTGGCGCGCCGGATAATCTGCTGCCGGCCGACGAGTGGCAAACGCCGGGACGCGCCCCTCGCATCCCGCGGGCACGGCGCCGTGCTCCAGCATCCGCCTCGCGCAGCGCTCCTCGCCATCGGGTGCGACAGGCTGTCCTCCGTTTGGCTTCACAATCAGCGCACAACGCAGAGCACAAATCACTTGAGGCCCTCAGGCGACGGAGAACACCATGCTGGCATCGCCCACGCGCAGCCGCACGCTCCGCTCGCCCTGCCACTCAAACGCGACGGCGTGCAGCACGTCGGCGGCGCTCGCATCTGCAGCTGGGAGCGAGAGCGTCCGTCAGCCGCAGCACACCAGACCGCAGCAGCACACTCACCCTCGGCGCCCACGCCAAAGCTGATCGCCTTGTACGCGCCGCTCGCATCCGTGCCGCCCTGGCGCGGCAGCGAGCCCGGCGAGAAGAGGCTGCCGAGCCCGCTGCCGATCTTCCAGATCAGCGCCTTGCTCTCGCCCACGCTGACGGTGACCAGGCGCCGACCGTCGGGCGAGAAGTCGCACGCGCTGAGCACGCCGGCGTGGCCCTCGATGACGTACAGCCGCGTCGCCGTCTTGAGGTCGTACATGATCACCGCGCCCTCTTCGGTGCCGACGGCGAGGCGCTGCATGCGCGCATGGAAGGCAATCATGGGGTACGTCGCCACGAGCTCGGCGATCATGACCGTCGCCGCCTGCACGACGGCCTCGCGCATGGCCGTCATCGTCGGGTCGAGCGACTGTGCAGCGGAGCGTGAGCAGCGAGACGCAGGCAGCCGTGCAGAGCGACACACCTTGACGACGGCCTCGGCCAGGCGCGGCAGGTTCGGATAGAGCACGAGCGGCTTCTGCCCATGGCGCGGGTGTCAGCGCCGGTCCACACTGCGCCGCCTCTGCACCGACCTTGCGGACCATGAACGCGACGAGCCTGCGAATCGCAGTCAGCCAGAGTGCGGCTCCACGGCGCGGCCTGCACGCACCGCATTGTGGCACTGCAGTGCGCCGGCGAGCGCGCATGCAGAATGTCGAGGCTCAGCGTCGTCATGAAGAGCGGCGTATTGTCGGCGGCGATCTGCATCGTCGCCTGGCGCGCGAGGATGCGGATCTCCTGGCTGGCCGCGCTCTCCTTGTTCGTGGCGAGGCCGAAGAGCGTGCGCACGACCTCCATCGCGTCAAAGTAGTGCTGCCAGATGACAAACGCACGGCAGCACAGCTCGATGGCGACCGCCTGGTGCGCCGGATGCCACTCGTCGGCGAGCGAGACCTCAATCGACGCGGCGACGTCCTTGAGAAGGTGCGGCGGCAGCATCTTGTAGCGCGCTGCTGCGATCAGGCCGAGCAGCATGAGCGCCTGCGGCGAGTCGGCGTCGCATACCGCAGCCTGTCGCGAGGGCAGCTTGCCCGCCCACGAGTCGCAGAGCTCCTGCACGGACGTGCTGGACGCCGCCTCGAGGGCCGGGTCGAACAGGGCGCGCGCAGCCTGCTTGAGCTCAACGCAGTCGTCCATGTAGTGCGCGGCAAGGACAGTGAGCGACGGGTGCGCAAAGGCCGGCCCGACGGCGGCTGCCAGATCCACGGCCAGTGACGAGACCAGCCGCGTCGCGCTCGCCTCCAGCTCGCGGATGTTTGCAAGCACCAGCAGCATCGCTGTACTCGCCAGGAGGCGGTAGGCCGTCAGAGCGGGCGTGATGCACAGGCTTGTGGCCGCAGACACGCTGGCGTCCTCGCACGTATGCCCGGCACGCCACACGACGCCCACAGCCAGACGGCTCGACGGCTCGCCAGACAGGCCAAGGTGGCGCAGCAACTCGGTGCTGGACGCGGTGCACCGGGGCAGCAACGCGGCCAGGAACGGACGCAGGATCGAGATCGCCTTCTTTGCGCCGGCGGAGACCTCCTTGACGCCAGCGCGTGCCTCCGGCGCGCCGTTGCGTCCAATGCTTGCAAACGCATCCGGGCCGAGCCCAGGATCTGCTGGCGCTTCGTTGCCACCGCGCGCTCGTAGCCCATCCGGCGAGCCCACGGCACGCGACGCCGCCTCGATTGCTCGGCGCAGATCGGCGGTGACGGCGCTCTGTCCGGCCTCGTCCAAAATCGAGCTGGCAGAGAGCACGGCCACAGAGCTGTTCTCGGAAGCGCGCGCGTCGACGTCGGCCAGCGCGTCGGGCCCGCCTAGGGCCATGCTCCACCACGGCGGTGACTTCTCCTCGAGGAGAGCATTGGCCTGGTCGGCATCGATGCTTCGCCGCAGCTCGTGCGAGCACACGTCCCAGACGCGTGCGCGCCCGTCGGCGTACACCAACAGGAGATCGTCTGCGCGCAGGGCGAGGCGCCACAGCGGCACGCCGCGCCCGGGAATGAGGCACAGCAGCACGAAGCCGTCGAGCAGGAGGATCGCTACTGTGCCATCAGCAGCAACGGCCGCGACGCAGCCGCGCAGGCGTGACGTCTCGCCGGTGAGCAGCGACACGATGTGGGCGGTCGGCGTGACAAAGACGGCCCACTGCGCGACCTGCCGCAGGGAGGCTGCGTCCCAGATGACGAGATCGCCCTCGAGGCTGGCACCGACAACGTATCGCACACCTGTGCGCACGTTGTTGACGGCGCGGAGGATGCTGATGCGGCGCGTGCTCGGACCATGGCCGAGGGCGCGTGGCGCCGGCAGGGCGCCGCCCACTACGTCGTTGAAGGTTGATGCCTGCACCGTGCCGGCAGCTGACAGGCTGTCAGATGATGCTGAGAGAGGCACAGCAAGAACAGCTCACCGTCGACAGTCACAACGCGCTCCAGGTTGAGCGGCAAGACTACCGTGCAGTCGTCGCTCGAGTTCGCTGCTGCGGGCAGGAGCTCCGTGCCGGTGATTGTCACGCAGAGCCGCCGCTGCGCCTCGCGCACGACCAGCAGAGCACCGTTCTCTGCCGTCGTGGCGACTTGCAGGCCTGCGGCGGGCGCTGCTTCGGCGCCAGAGGCGCTGAATAAGCGCGGACCTGCCGGAGAGTCGTAGGCAAAGATGACCGAATGCCCGCCGCTCTGCAGAAGGCGCGGCGAGCAGCACGGAAACGTCTGCAGCAAGCTGACACCATCCGCGTTGAGGGCTGCAGTCTGCAGAGGCCGTCAGTACATATCTAGGCGCGCCCATGACACAGACTGACTGCAACACCAGCGCTGCTCCACAGCCAGACAGTGCCCTGCTCGTCGATTGCAGCACCCGCAGGCGGCCGATCGCCAATGAGCGTGCCGCGCCACTGCTGCGCGGCCGGCGGTGTGATGGTAGGCGGGGCCGGCGTCGGTGCATCACGCTTGAAGAACGCCGCTGTGCTGCCGCTGAACGATGCGCCCGCGCCTTGGGGGGTGGAAGTGCCGGAGGCTTCGCTGCGGCGATGGACATGCATCGCAGAGCCTGGAGCTGCCTGGGCCTCGCCAGCAGCCGCTGTGGACACGAGCGGCACCTGCTCTGGATCCTTGGCGTGCTCCTTCTCGGGACGCTCGCGGCGGAAGAAGGCTGCCGCAGCTTCCAAGGCCGTGCGCGTTCTTTCCTCGTGATCGTCGGCAGCGACCGAGGGCTCCGTCATCACGACGTGCTCCGAGCGCACGGCGCCCTGCGCATCGACAGAGATGATCTCCGCGGTCAGCTTGGCGTCCGACGACCGTGCGCTCGGCGGCGTGCATGCGTTCGAAACAGAGCAGCGCTGCCGCACGCGGAGCGAGCGGCCGTCTTCCTCGACGTCGAAGAAGACCAGAGACCTGCGTCCCGCATCCCACGCGGTCCAGAGCGCTGCCGCGCCGGACACTGCAGCAAGAGCGCGGAACTGGGGTGCATGCATTCGTCGCACGTGCTGCACAGGCCGTGGCAGGACGCTGGCATTGCTGCTTGCGCGAGAGCGGCCGAGCGGGGTGCGCGTGTGCTTGTGACCGCTTTGCGGTGCGGCGGGCGGGGCGCTGTCGTCGATTGCGGTGCGCGGCAGCAGCGACAGCGACGAGTGCACCGCGCCGTCGGCCGACCAGAGGGTCAGCAGGCCAGAGGCTTGCAGCACCAGCAGACCGTACTGCGTGGGCTTGACAGCAGCAACTGGAGAGGGGCAATGCGAGCGCAGCCACGTCCTGGGGCTCAGCCGGGCGCCCGCCGAAGTATCTCGCACGCCCGAGGCTGCCGTCGCCGCTGCCGCTCCTGCGTCCGCTGGCGGCGCGTCTGACGCGACTGCAAAAGACTTGGACGAGCGCCGCCGAGGGAATGGCGGCGTGGCAGAGTGGCGGCGGCTGCGTGGCGGCGAGTCGCCGGGCGACCCATGCGTCGTGTGCGGGTGCGAGTGATTCGAGCTCAACCCGAGGGCGCCCATCAGGCCGACACGCTGCCCAGCGTGCCACTGCGCCTCAAGACGCCGCTCGGCGCCGCTGCGCCCGTCCCTGCTGCTTTCTGCCGGCACGCTTTCGCCCTGCGCGCGCACCAGGAGGCTGTCGTCCGACGTGAGCGTCGCACTGCTCGGCGGCGAGATGGCCGTGTGGGCGCCAGACGCCGCGAAGCCAGCGAAGGGCACGCCGCCGGACAGCGACGCGGTGCTGACGTGGCGTCTCGAGGAGGAGCTGGCGATGCTCGGCGAGGGAGAGCGCGGCCGGTCTTGCGAGCTCGTGGCTAGATACGCGGCAGGCTGCGCCGAGCCCGCCCGCCCGAGGGCGTCCGGCGAGAAGGCGGCGGGCAGCGACGGCGGCGACTCGGCAGAGTAGGTCAGGAGCCAGGTCGCGCCACCGACGCACCCAAGGACCACATGCGTCTGCGCACCCGTCGCCGGGGCCCAGACGGCGGCAGTGCTGACCCATGGGCTCTCCTCGCACGCCCACGGGTCTGCGTTCTCATCGTCGTCCGCCGCCGCCTCGTCGTCGGGCGTGGTCCGCCATGCGGCTCGTGCCTGCCGCCGCCAGTCGGCCGGGAGTACAGGCGAGCAGCCAGCGGCAGAAAGGCGCAGCGAGAGCTTGAGCGGCGGCGACAGCGCCTCGCGGTCACCCATGCGCCTGCCGCGGTGCGCGTGTGCGGGCCAGCAGGTGGAGCAGGTGCGCGCGCGAGGCGCTGGCAGGCAGGGCGAGGCGCAAGACGGGCGGCGCAAGGGCCGAGAGCGTGCAAGTGGAGCAAGCAGAGAGAGGTGCCGTGGCCGGCTGGCGTGGGTACAACAGAGACGAGGCGATGGTGGTGGGAGAGAGGATGGGAGAGGCGCGGCTCGCGCGCGCTCGAGCGGGGATGCTACTCCACTCGGCGTCGCGCCGCGCGGCCGCGGCCCCTCGCTCGACCTTCGCCCGCACCGGTACATCCGTTCTGCGCATCCTACGCTACGCACTTCCAGCTCGGCAGACTCTGAGTCTCCAGAGCGCCAGCACGACCTTGACTCGTCTGTCACACCTGAGAAGGGCGCTCGGCAGGGGCAAGGGCAGGTGCGTTCTTGAAAGGATCTTCACCGCGGACAGAGTCCGGCACCATACCCGACGCCTAGCAACATGCGGCTCGTTCGCTGTCATGCGCTGGCGCCGGCGGGCCTGAGTCGCTGGGATGAGACATGGCTCCGTGCTCGTTGCGCAGATGCAACTGTGCTGAGCGAATGCGACAGAGTGTTCAAGCCGCGGACATCATCCGTGCCCGCCAGGCTGCCGTGCCCGGGAGCAAGGGCATGCTACTTGCAAATGCCCTGCTATGCCGCCGCAGAGCAAGGTCCACTCTCACAGCTGCGTGCCGTCTGGGCACGCACGTCGCACAGATGCGTGATATTGTACATTTTCCACCTCTGCTGCCAGCCGCAGAGATGTCCTTGCCCCACCGCCGGCGAGCGCGAGCCGTACGCGACCTACGGCCTGAGATTCTCCTTCCGTCTACTTCTTCTTGCCCTTCATCTGCGCCCGTCGACCCTGACCTGCGATCGCGGAGTGAGTGTCAGCTGGCACCTCGCTCGGCGGAAGCAGCGGAAACCCGCCACTACGAGCCAGTTCCGGAACAGCATCGCGCTCCTCAAGTGCGAGGCTGGGTGACCGACGCCGGACACGCCTCAGAGCCTCAAGCGCCGTGCTGCCTGAGCCCGTGCCTTGCCATGCACCTTGCCCCCCTCCACCAGACGGGCCCAGACACTCACCCTTCTTCGGCGGCCCCTTGCCGAGGCCCTTTCGCCGCTCGACGTCCTCCAGCCGCTGCGCCTCGCGCGGGTCGAGGAGCTTCTCTCCTGGTGCCAGCAGGCCAGGCACGACGCTGCTCAGGCTGGAGAGGTTGAGGTTGGCGGGGTAGTAGCGCAGCATGCTCGGGCCGACGAGGCGCGGGCGCAGGACCTTGGCGCCCGTGCGCTCGCCGCCGGGCACGGCCGACGGCGGCGAGACCTCGAAGATGCGGGCGCGTGCCAGCGCGAGGGCGCGCAGGGCGGCGCTGCGAGGAGCCGACATGGCGTGCAATGGAAGGACGAGTGGTGAAGAAGCAAGCAGCGCGGCCGCGGCGGCCAGAGCTGGAGACGCCGCGGCGCGGCGCGCGACACGGCGCCCGCACTTGTATTCCGCCGCCGGCTTTTGTAGTGCAAAGGACCCATTTTGTAGTGCGTCTGCCGCGCCCCTTGTAGTGCAGGCAGGGCTCTCCTCGCGCCGCGCCGCACACGACCGCACACTCGCTACCCGGCCTTCCTTCTCACCAACACCTACCCGCAACGCAGCTCGCCTCCCTCCCACTCCAGGACTCGCATCTGCTCGCTCAGGCGCGCCCGCACACGCTCGCACGCAGCGCGCCCCATCTTGCCGCGCGGCTCCGGCCCCTGACGTCTGCAGCGCGCCCCTCCTGCACCGCTGCTCGCTGCGGTCATGTCGCAGGCCGCACCAGGCCACGGCCAGCTGGGCACGGGGCGCATCACGTTCCTCGGGCCCGCAGCTCTGGCTCGTCCGCGCATCCAGATCACACACATCGACCGCAGCAGCGTGCGCTTCACGCTGGACGGCGTCGATCTCTCGTGAGTGGAGCAGGTGCGCGCGCAGGCGCATGCACCGGTCACGCCCGCTGAGCGTGCGCGACAGCTTTGCGAATTCGCTGCGGCGTATCATCATCGCCGACATCCCGACGTGCGCCATCGACATGGTTGAGATCCAGGAGAACACTAGCGCGCTGCCCGACGAGATGCTGGCGCACCGGCTGGGCATGATCCCGCTGGTCAGCGACCACGCGCGCGATGCGCTCGTCGACCACCGTGTGAGTGCCTGCCCTGCCACGGGCAACCTCACGGGCTAGCGTTCTGTCCTGGGCCACAGCCTGCTCACACACGTTTGTGCGCAGGAATGCACGTGCGAGGAGAGCTGCGCGCGCTGCTCGATCGAGCTCACTATCGCGGCCAAGGCCACTGCGAACCACCGGGGCACGCTGGAGGTCACGTCCAAGGACATGGTCCGGTCGGCCCGGGCGAGCGGCGGCGGTGCGGACATGTACGAGGAGGTGGTGGACGTACCGCCGCGGAGCGCCAACTTTGGACAGCCCGTCGGCCAAGGTGAGTGTGTCTTGCAGTCGGCGCATCGGGGCATGCGCGTCTCAGCTCCGAGCTCGCCTGCTCGGGAAGGACCGGCCAGACCATCGGATGGGAAGGTGGACCGCCTGAGCTGACACCTGGCAGACAATCCTGCCTCCGACGGCGTGATGATCGTCAAGCTGCGAGCCGGCCAGGAGTTCAAGGCGAGATGCATCGCCCGCAAGGTGAGAAGCGGCTGCCTAGCCCAGCCAGACTGCGCCGACTCAGACACATTCGCCACGCAGGGCTTCGCCAAAGAGCACGCCAAGTGGTCGCCCGTCAGCGCCGTCGGCTTCGAGTACGACCCGCACAACATCCTGCGGCACACATCGCTGTGGCACGAGCGCGACGCCGCCGCCGAGTGGCCGGCCTCTGAGAACGCCAACCAAGAGGAGCCTGCTGACCCTGAGGAGCCGTTTGACTACGAGGCACGGCCTGGGCGCTTCTACTTCGACGTCGAGACCGTCGGCAGCGTCAGCCCGGGCGAGGTCGTAGAGAGCGTGAGTGCTTCTGCCGCGCAGCGCCGGCCACCGCACGCGCTGACCGTGCGCGGGCAGGGCCTCAACCTCCTGGAGCTCAAGACTGCGCAAATAGTGCAGGAGCTCGGCGTGTTGCACGACGGACCTGGCGACGAGCAGCTCGTCAACGGGCACGACGGGCAGGGGGCGTATGGCGAGGCGTATGGGGCACCGAATGGCGCGAACGGCGCGCAGTACGCCTACTGAATACCATGCATGCTGCATCCTTGACCCGTGCCTCGTGCCTGTGTGTCTGTCCACTCTCTGGCTTTCATCCGCGCCGTGTGCGGACTATCGTTTGATGTCGAAGGAACGTGCAGTTACTACGGTGGACCGAGGCTAGTCTCACGCGCGAGCGAGTCTGACCGGCGCTGTGGCGCTCACGCTCGGCATTCGCACAGCGCGAGAGGCGGACGAGACGCTCAAGGGACTGCAGTGCAGTGCAGAAGGACTGTTTGGAACTTAGCATCCGCATCTGCCCTGCGGCGTCTGCCATGGCGCATCACAGCGGCTTGCAAAGGTGCACGAAGCTTTCCTCGGCGTCCGGCACATCCACTGTGCGTCAGATCAACAAGCAGTGTTGCGCTTGCCGGCGCTTAGAGGCGAAAAAGACGCGCGGACCGCCACAGGGCGTCGAAATGCTGCAGCGTGTGCATCACGCAGCGCGCACGGAATATCTGCCAGGCTGCACGGCAATTGTCGGGCGCACACGTTCGCCGCGCATATGCTGGGCGCAGAGCCCTGAGCGGGACACAGCTACGTCCGCGGCATGCGTGCGTGCAGGAGGATAGGGAAGGGGTCAACATCCGCCCTGCGACCGGGTCCAGCGCCCGAGCATCACAACAACTGTTACGAGCGGGCGCAAGAGTCGAGCGTCATTCATCGCAGTAGGTGCCTGCGGACCGCTCGCCCAGCTCCTGCAGGAACTGACTCAGGGCCCAGCGGTCAGTGAACGCAGCGTCGCTCTGTCAGCGGAGCAGCGGTCAGCACCGAGAGGCGTGTGTCCGCACGCGAGACGCACCTCGTACCACAGGTTGAAGCAGATGCACAGACCGGCGCCCGGGCCCTCGGCCCCTCCATCGTCCTCTTGCTGCGCCACTGCGTGGTACCAGCTTGCAGAGGGTGTGCGTGAGCGATGACGCATGCAGGAGTGCGGTGAGAGAGAGGCTGCTCACCCTGCCGGCAGGTAGAAGGTCTGCCCGGCGCGCACGCGTACACGCAGTGGCGGAAGCGCGTGCGCGAAGCGAGCCTGCGCGGCGTTCCTGGGCGATGAGGGCGGCGAGAACGCATCGACCATGACCCAGGGCTGCGCAGGGGGTGAGCAGCGAGGACGCTGCGATGCCAGCACGTCGGTCACGCACAGTCTGAGGCATGCCCTGAGCCTCCTTGAGCTTGAAGCCGCGGCCAGCGTCTGTGTGGGAGGGACGCCACTGATGCACCGCGAGCGGCTCGCCTGGGCCAGGGTGCGTCAGTGCTGGGAGCGGCCCGTCAAGGCGGCGCTGCCACGCACCCTCGCAGAGGAAGAAGCGCTCGGTGGGCGGATACAGGATGAACGTCTTCTCGCCGCGGACGACGTGGAAGAGGTTCTCGTAGTGGTCGCGGTGCATGCTCGTGCGCGAGCGCTGCGTGCCGATCCACACGTTGACCGCCTCGGCTTCCTTGCCCAGTGCCTCGTGGGCCCAGGCGAAGGGCAGCGAGCCTGTGCTGCCGAGCAGGTCGACGTAGAGCGGCTCGAGCGACGACTCGGCCGTGAGGTTGCTGTTCTGGCTCTGCAGGTACGCGACGGGAGCACTGGCGCTGGTGGGGTGCAGCGCCCGCAGCAGAGCGGCGAAGTCCCTGCAGAACCGGTGAGCATTGTACTCGGCGACAGGGCCAGAGCTGCTCGCAGCTCACATCTGCTCTTCGTGCGGCAGAGCAAAGACATGCCGGCCATCCTCAAGCCTGACCACGTCGTCTGCCCGCCCGTCCGGCGTCAGGGCCACTGCAAACGTGGCGGTGCCGAGGCGCGATGCGAGGTGCGAGGTCGAGTGCCATGCTCGCAGCCGGTCGTCGAGCGCGCCATTGATGAGGACGGGCACGCTGCGCCCAATTAGACGCTGATTGAGGCCGCGTGAGCCACGAGCGCTGCGCACGGGCAGCAATAGCACCTCACGGCAAACTCCAGGGCAGTCGGCGGGCCGGGCAGCACGGGCGGCCACGCCGCGGCGGCCGTGTTGTCGTCGCCCGACGGCGCCGGCACGAAGAAGTCGCGCGCCTCCTGCGCCAGGCGCACGTTTGCCTGCTTCAGGCCCACCTCGTCGAGCATGGCCCGCCAGATTTGCTGGCTGCTCGAGGCTCCGGAGGCGCCTGCGTCTTGTGCGCTCGTTGCGGTGTGGTTGTGAGGTCAGAAGGTCGCGCGGCCTGCTCCACACGAGCGTCATGCATGAGCCGCAGCGCGCGCCCAAGTGCCGCGCTCGTGCCGCGGCAGGTCTGAGCCAGGCGCGCACCGCGCTCCTTTCCCTCACACCTCCATCCTCCTCGGCGCCTCCAGATCTCCTTCGTCGACGGCAGCGCTCCTCATGGCCAAGTGATGCAGGACCTCGGCGCCAAGCGCGCCACGCAGCCCGGCCGCGGCGACTTCCCGTCGCAGCTCGGCTACGCCCGGGAGCAGCGCTGCTGCTTCGCCGCACACGCGCAGGCAGCCGCGTGCGGCAGGACGCTGCCCTCGGCCCACCTGCTGGACCTGCACGTCGAGGAGTGCCACTCGGCGCTCTGGGCTGAGCGCAGAGCGCGTGGCGCGCCGGTTGTGAGTGCGCTGCGCTGAGTCGTTTGGCGACCGGGAAGCTGCAGCCTGACCGCGCCGAGCTGGCAGTATGCCTGCTTCGAACCCTTCTGCCTCGAGCGCTTCGGCACTCCGGCTCTGCGCGCCCATCATCTCGTTGCTGCGCACCTCTACCCCGCGGCATTCTTCTTCCAAGTTGTCGAAGAAGGGATCGAAGGCGCACAGGCGCGCTGGGGGCCAGCCGCCGGCCTCGTTGCTCCGACTGTGGATCTGCAGCTCCCTGCTCTGCTGCGCCACCAGCCCGCTGCAAGCGCTGCGCGCAAGCGCAAGCAGTCAGAGTGTTCAGACGTGGACATGGCGCCGCTGGCTGGTCTCGACCGAGCGGATCAGGCAGCTGCACCGTCGCTGCCGCTTTTCCCTCGCCCGGCCGACGCTCAGCCTGTCGCGCTCCACGCTTTGGCATTCGTGCCGCGCAGTGTCAGGCAAGGCCCAGCGCGCCTGGATGAGCCCCGTGCTGGCACGGACGCTCAAGCGGGAACGAGCTGAGACGGCGCATCTGCGCAGCACGGCGATGTACGGAACGACGCATGCATGACATTCGCAGCCCCTCACACCACCACTGTCTCCTCGTCGCTCTTGCCCTTGCCGCCCGCCGTGGCCTTCTCCTCGTCGCTGCCGGCGCTGCTGCCACCGGCGGGCGTGGCCGCGGCAAGGCTGGCGGTCGACGCCGAGCCCGCCAGCTGCCAGCTCGGGATGCTCGGCTTGCCGTCGGGACGCGGCGAGGCCGCACCGCCGGGCGACGAGGGCCCGTTGCCGGAGCTGGCTGCGGCGCCATACCGCGGGGCGCTGGGTGCCCGCGAGACGAGGAGCGACTTGAGCGACTTGAGCTCCGTCTGCAGTTCTAAGAGCGACGTCTGCTGTGACGAGGTCTGCTTCTCCATCATCTGTGCGCAGGGAGCGAGTCAGTGCACAGCAAGGATGTGCGGTCACAGGCCCACGCGTGGCACAAAGGAAAGCCCCGCTGCTCGCGATACCATATCGATCGAGCGATCCCCCGTCGCGTGCTCAGCGGGAGACTTACCTTCGGAAGCGCCCGCTTCATCTCCTCCACCTCGTCGCTGATGCGCTTCATCTGTGCCTCGCGCCCCTTCTCGCCGTCGCGCACCTCCCGCACCGCGCCCTCGACGTCTGTGATCATGGCCTCGACCTGCGTGCGCTGCTGCTCGACGCCCGCGCGCACAGCATCGGTTGTCCGCTCCAGCGCGGTGAGCTGCGCCGCGACTGTGTCGTACTTGTCCGTCAGGGCGTCAAGATCGGCAGTAAGGACATCGGCGTTTGGCGGCGCGAGGTGCGGGAAGAGGTACCGCTAGAGAGATGGGAGCATACCAGTCAGCCGTCGGCCGCTCTGGCGCGGCATGCCGCACAGGCCAGGCCACTGTCACTCACGCGCGCAAGGCCCACGATGCCGTAGCCCACCGAACCGGCCACGACGGCCATGATGAACCAGTCGCGCCAATCGCGCGCCAGACGTGGGTCCGGCGCATACGGGTTGGCGTAGGCGTGCTGCGCGTGCGCCGGCATCTGCAGCGCCTGCGAGCCGGACGTGCCAGCGGCAGGGGCGGCGTAGCGCATCGCCTCGGCCACCTCGGCGTCAGAGAGGCCCTTGGAGCGCAGAAAGCCGAGGCGCTGCTCTAGCGACGCGTTGGCCACGGCGGGGTCCTGCAGGAAGGAGATGGCGGAGCTGACGAGCTCGGCGCGCGGCGCCGACATGGCGGCGGAAGTGTTGAGGGCAGCGAGGGAAGGGTGAGAGGAGAAGGAGCCCGGACCGTCGAGGGGCAAGGCGGTGTCGAGGTGAGAGGCGCAGCACGGCGTGCGGAGGTGTCGGCGTGTGGTGCGGGGGACCGCGACCGGCAGCCGGCGACGCCAGCCGGGCCGCGCCGCGCGCGCGTGATTACAGGCGCACATTGAGGCTGGCCGCGGCACATTTGTATTCGGCTGCCGCGCCTCGTTGTATTCGCGCCAGGCTGCCTGCGGCTGGCCTGTGCGTCTCGCGCCGCGCTGCTTCTGCTCCTCCATCACCCCCCGACCTCACTGCCAGCGGCCCGGCGTCGTCAGCCCGCACGCCCGCCATGCTCGCCCAGCTGTCCGCCCAGCGCACGCGCTCCTACCTGCTGCAGGCGCTCAACTTTCTCTCCGTCGTTGCCACGGCGCTGGCGCTCTGGAAGGGCCTCGCCGTCGTCGCCGACACCGAGTCGCCCATCGTCGTCGTGCTCAGCGGCAGCATGGAGCCGGCCTTCTACCGCGGCGACCTGCTCTTCCTCAGCATGCCCTCCGGCCCGCTGCGCGTCGGCGACATCACCGTGTACAAGGTGCCCGGGCAGGACATCCCCATCGTGCACCGCGTGCTCGAGACGCATAAGTGAGTGGTCGGCGTCGCCGTCGTGCGAGGAGGGCCGGTGCGGCAGCTCGTGGGCAGTAGAACGCCAGACAGCCGCGGCTCTTCATCTGCGTGCGCTCGTCGCGTGCCTGCGTCAGCCTCGCCTTGCATGCTGCCCTGCTGCAGCCTCTAGCCATGCGCTGGTGGAGACGCTCGTGACCCAGCCTTGCGCCGCTGACCTCCGCACAGCTCACGGACAGACCAGCTGCTCTTGACGAAGGGCGACAACAATGCGGCAGACGACCTGGTGCTGTACAATGGCGCGTCGTGGATGCGGCGGAGCAACATCGTGGGCAAGGTGCAAGGGTGCGTGCCTCTGCCGGCTGCACCGCGGCCGTGCTGCTTGCGCCCGCTGATGCTCACTGTGCCGCCGGGCCGACAGGTACATGCCTTACGTCGGGTGAGTCGCGTCTGCGTGGTCTGCAGCCCATCTGCTTACCCGAGGTCCCTTCTCAGCTACGTGACGATCGCTCTCAACGACTACCCCAAGCTCAAGTATCTGCTCTTGGGCGGCCTGGGACTGTCGCTGCTGCTACAGAAGGAATGAAGCAGCTTGCCTCCAGCACCACGCCAAGCTCCGATCCTCTCTCTGATGCAGCCGGACAGGCGCGTCGGCCTAGCCACCGCATGGCCAGGCGATGCTTGTCTCCGCGTATGTTCATACATCCGCACTCGGCGAGCGCTGCTGTTCCAGCGCCCAGGACCGTCTACGCTGGTCAGCTCAGCGTCCTGTCTGCGCCAGCCAGCAAAGGGGCGCATGCGGAAGTGCCAGCGCCAGCCACGCCAGTAGACAGTAGCTAGGTCGAGACGGTGCGTTGATGGATGAGGTGTGTCGAGCGTGTAGAGTGGAACATGTGCAGAGTGAGTGGTGGGGAGGCAGGGTCGGGCCTGGATCTAGATGTCAGTCATGGCTGGGCCGCCCCAGAGCGCGTCCTGGTGGAGAGGGGGATGAGCGAGAGCGACAGCAGGCGCCGGGGGGCATCTGTGACTCACGCGCGTCTTGATGCTGATCAGCTCCGAGAGAGCAGCACGCGCCTCCTCTGTTCGGCTGGTCAGCACGCCTGTCTGCCTCCTCCGACGCCCGCGCACGCGACGCACCTTCGCCCTTGACGAAGAAGCCCGCCTCGGAGCCGCGGAGTGTGGCGCAGGTCGTGCATGTCTGTTCCCGCGCAAGTCAGCACCGCGTATGCGCGTCGGCTGAAGCCACAAAGCAGCACGCACGATGGGAGCAAAGAGCATGTCGAGCGTCGAGACGTACGCCATGAGGCCATCGTCCTGACCGAGCGCCAGGACGAAGTCGTAGCTGCCGCCCGTGGCGAGCCCAGCGGGCCCGCGCGGAGAGTACGAGCCAGAGGCAGAAGCCTGAGCGTCATCTGCATCAACGAAGCGTCCTCTCGCGGATCCGTGCGCTGGCGCCACCGCTGTGCGGCTGCTCACATCCTGCGTGGGGCCCAGGGGCGACCAGTGGTTCGACGGCTGCTTGTACGGACTGCTGTCGCGGACAGCAGCGGCGCGTGCCGCGGCTGCAATCCTGCCGGAGCTCGAGGAGTGCAGTCCGTGCGAGAGGCCGCGCGGTGTCTCCGTGCCGGGTGTCGCGGCAGGAGCAGTGGCGCCGATGCCACCCATCTGCGAGAGCGAGACAAGGTGCTGCACCGCCGAGGCGCGCGATACACCCTTGGGCATGATGAGGAACGACGTAGCGCCGGGACGGATGCGCAGTGAGAATCTGATTGCGCCGCCAAAGCAAGTCAGTCAGCTGCAGCTGGAAGCCTGGCAGCACCTTCTCACCTTTCGCCGAGCGAGTCGTAGATGATGTTCTGCACCTCTGCGGCCTGGCGCCGCGCCCACAGAGCTTGCTGCGACTTGGGGTCGCCCTGAGAGCGCGACCAGAAGCGCCACAGCATCGACGAGCCTCTGTCTTCGAGGAAGCTGCCTTCGGTGCGGTCGGTGAAGTACTGCAGGATCTCGCGCACGGGGCCGCGCCAGTTCATGTTGAAGCCGGCCACAAGACTGAGCCACTGGCGCTGCTGGCCGTGTCGTCCGCCCGCGTACGAGACGGCACAGCCGTTCTCAGAGACAAAGCCCAGCGAGGGCACGAGCGCGCCGAGGCGCTCGAGGTCGCCGGCGCCTCGGCCCGAGAGGATGTAGACGTGGTTGCGCGGGTCGTTTGCCAAGTCGGACAGCAGCGTGACGAGGCCTTCGTTGATGCTGAGCTCTCGTTCGGGCGCCGGGAGGAGCGTGTCTTCTAGGTCCAGGAGGATGAGTCTCTTCTTGGCCGCGCGCCACTCGGAGACGAGCGAGGCGACCTCCAAGCGTGGGATGAAGGAGTTGTCGCGGCGCTGCTGCTCCAAATGCGCGCGCTCGAGGCGGCTCACAAGACTCGTGAGCCAGTGCTGGCTCGTTTGCGTCACGACGGCCCGGTGCAAGTCCTCCCAGCGCGCCGATGCTTCTTCCTCGGGCATTGTGACGGCCTTGAAGATGGCGTGCGCGACCTGCTTCGTGTTCCATGGATTGATGCCGATGCAGGCCCGCAGCGCGGAGTACGTGCCCGTGAATTCGGACAGGATGAGCGGCGAGTGCTTCTCCTCCTGGCACACGACGTATTCGTGGCTCGTCAGATTCATGCCTTCGCGCAAGCTGCATGCGAGGAAGCAGTCTGCGACGGTCAGCAGCGCGAGGTACTGCGAGAACGTGATGCTGCAGAGCCTGGCGTGAGCGGCCGCGCTTCTCACGCGGATCTCAGCTGCACCTACTCCTGCACGTGGAGGAAAACCACCGGCTGGTACGTGAGCGAGGAGTGCTTGTTGTTGATGCGCGAGACCACGTCCGTCGCGGCGCCGATCTCCTCATTATCTTCGGTCGTCGCGAGGGCGATCTGAATGAGCACCACCTTGCCGACCCACTCTGGATGTTCGTCGAGGAAGACCTCGAAGGCGAGAAGCTTCTGTCGCACGCCCTTGCTGCAGGTGATGGCGTCAGCTGAGCAGGACAATGGGACACGCAGCACTCACATCCAGTCGAGCTTGTCGCGTGCGACAATCACACGCTTGCCCTCGTATCGCTCGCGTAGCTTCTCGACCCACTCGCGCACCTCAGGCGCCGCGCGCTTGCGGTTCAGCGCTCGCACATCGATGCCGATGGGGAATGCGCTGACGGTCACAAACGCGCCACGGCCGTCCATCTGAATGCCCTTGGGGGTCGCCTCGAGCTGCAGGATGCGGCTGACAGTCTGGCGGAAGTGGCGGCAGAAGTTGTGCGTCTGGAAGCCTATAAGGTCCGCGCCAAGCATGCCGCGCAGAATCTCCTCGCGCACGGAAAGGCAGCGGAAGATCTCGGACGACGGAAAGGCGATGTGGATGAACAGCCCGATGGTGGCGTACGGCAGGCGCTCGCGGACCATCTGAGGCACGAGCAGCAGATGGCTAGAAGAGCGAGATCAGCGGCGCCGCTGCAGGGCCGGCATGCAGCGGCCACTTACTAGTCGTTGATCCAGATGATGTCGCCCTCGCGATACTCGGCCATGATGGCGTCTGCAAAACGCCTGTTGACCTCGCGGTAGCAGACGAACGCCTCGTGCTCCTGGTCGAGCCCGCGCTGCGTCGGCAGCGTGTAGTGGAACGTCGGCCAGAGAACCTGCTTGCAAAAGTGCGAGTAGTGGCCCTCGAACAGCTCGTCCTCGACCCAGACGGGGGCGCTCTGGCGCTCGTTGCGCAGCCGCTCGGCAATGTGGGCGCGCTCGGAGGGGCCCGCCCAGTCGTCGATCGAGATGCCTGGCGTGCCCACGTATACCTTGCCCGCACGCAGACGCTCACGCGACACCGAGTCGACGGCGTTGACCAGGCCGCCGTTGGCGCTAGGGTTCGATGTGAAGTCGAAGCCGGGCATCTGCGCCGGCGTTGAGGCAGAGCTCGCGGCACAGTCGTCGCCCACCTCGATGCTGGCAGTGGACGGCCGGCGATTCAAGGAGCGTGCCATGGACGAGCGTCGCGCCATGCCCCGAGCGGGTCCGCGAGACTTGTTGGTGATGCGGTTCCACGACGAAGAGGCAGCAGGCGGCGGCACGGCAGCGCCGCCGGACGACGGGCCGCGCGTGTGGCCGCCCTTGGCACCGGCTCGCTGGGCTATCCGTCCGATCCGCTGCGGCTCGCTTGAGTTCTGCAGGCCCTCGGCCTTGGCAGCGATGCGCGTAATCGGTCCGGGTCCGGGCACAGGCGACACGGTGTCGAGGTCTGCGCCGCGCCCGTGGTCGTTGATGGAGCCAGTCGCCAGGGCTGTCGTCACGCCGCTCGTGGACAGCTTGCTGGGCCCCAGCGGCGGGCGCTGCGGCTTGCTGCCATGCGGAGTGCTGGGGCGGGTGAGAGAGGTGATGCCCGGGGCGCCACTCGCCTGCCCTGCGGCGCTGACCTTCGGCACGCTCATTGTGGACATGCTGAGGCCCAGCGGAGGGCGGGTGAGGGGGCCCGTGCCCGCCGAGTGGGGCTTCACGGGCAGGCCGGGCGTGCGCACGGCGTGGCCGGGCGTCTGCGTGCCGTGCATTGGCGTGACTGCGCCGGAGCCGAAGGGGTGATGCCTCTCGCGGTCGCCAGGGGTAGCCACGACGTGCTGCGGGATACTCGACTGCTTGGCCTGGACAGAGAGACGAGCATGTCAGCGACGTGCGGTGCAACGCATCACAACGTTGCCGCTCACCGTCAGGTCGCCAATGATGCTGAGCGGAGTGAGTGTGCCAGCCTTGCCGCCGGCGTGGGCGCCCGGCGTCTTCGTCCCTGACTTGGCCGGCTCCGGCACGCTGCTCTGGGTAAACGCCGGCGGAGCAAAGGGCGACTGCGCTCCGAAGCTGCTGCGACGGCTCTTGGGCAGGGCGCCGATGGTGCTGCTGCTCGAGCCGGACCCTGTCCGGCTGGTGGCCGTGACTCCGATGCTCGGCACGGGATGCGCGACGTGCGGCGCCTGCGCAGGAGCTGCGTCGAATGCGCCGCGGCCGTGGTCCGACGCCACAGCCACGGGAATGTCAGAGGCTGTACCGGCGGCTGGACGCGACTGGGGCGAGGAGGAGTTGGCGCCGATGCCCAACACGCTGATGCTTGGCCGCGAGCCGCCGGACGGGCTGGAGCGGCGCGAGCGTGGCACGCCGAGGATGGCGTGGCCGGGGCCGGGCGACGGCACGCGAGCCGCTCCCAATCCTCCTCCTGCCGGACTCGCGCCCATCGGCGACGCACTCTCCGACGCCGAGCCGCCCGCTGCAGCCTCGGAGATGAGCGACGACATGTTGATGGACTTGCGCACGGCGCCGGCGCCGTCGTTGAAGGAGCTGCGCGCCGAACGCGAGCGGTGGTGCGAGGCGCCGCTGGCCGGCAGCTCTGGCCCGGCATCGGCATCGTCATCGTCGTCGTCGTCGACGATGGCGCTGCTGCCATAGCGCGGCTGCGGCTGCACCGGGGCTGGCGCCGCGTGCGGCGGCGTTGCCTCGGACGAGCCGGCGAGATCGGGCCGCGGCCGCGGCGCAGCAGCGGCGCTGGCGAGGCGGTCGGGCAGCTCGTGCAGCGGCAGGTGGTGCGCCGCGCTGGCGGGGCTGTGCGATGCCGGGCTGTCTCCGTCGACAGGCGCCGGGCTCTCGATGAGCACGTCCGAGTCCTCGTCCCACGCATGGAACGCCAGCGTGTCGGGCAGGAAGAGGTGCGCCAGCAGCAGGCGGTGGCCCTTGGCGGCCATGGTGCCAGGCGCAGGCGTGGTGAGAGGAGGCAGCAGCGAAGAGCACACGCGGGCGGCTGTGCTGTCAGACGATCACGGCGGCCCACGCTGCGGCGCCGGCGGAGGAGTGACGGGCGCGCAGCTGGCGAGGCGGAGGCGGGCCCGGCGCTGCTCGGTGCCGTCGCCGGCGCACTTGCCGCACAGCGTCTGGCAGCTTCGGTGACGCAGCAGCAGAGCAGCGCAGGTGAGGAGGAGTGCCGCGGGCCAGGCGAGATGCGGCGCGTGGAGAGGGGATGAAGCTGGAGGAAGCAGGCGCCTCATCATCGACCTTCGCTGCGTCTCTGGACAGCGAGCAAGGCGGCGCAGCACAGCATGCAGCGTCGCCGTCGCGCGCGCACGCCGTCGTCGGCAATCCAGCCGCCTCGGCGCGGGGGCAGTGCCCAAGCCAGAAGCACGCCTCCACACCCGCTGCCCTTGCGGCGCCCGTGCACACCTGCAGCGGCGCGCCCCCATCGACGACTCGGGCCTCTTCTTCCTGCCTGCCCTCACCTCTTCGAGACGATCTTTTGCCATCACAATCACCGCAGAGCCGTCTTACCACAGCTCTTTAGTCTTCTGGGCTACGGTCAGGCGACAGCGCAGCAGCGTTGTGAACGGAAGTGAAACATGCTTGACTTTGCGACAAACCGGCAAGCAATGGCAAGCCAAAAGGGCGTCAAGCACTGCATCCCTCAGGCGCCGCAGTGAACAGGATCGCCGATCGGATCCGATGAATGGGTCGAACTGCTCTTCCGCCAAAGATAGACTCGGTGCGGCCCGCAGGAGAGAGGGAAAGAGAGGAAGGAGAGGCAGTCGCTCATGCCGGACGACCCAGGCCCAGAGGATCACGCAGGCGAGCGTGGGAGCAGCTGGTTCGCGCGGCCAACCCTTGCGCGTTTCGCGTTTCGCGCTCGCGACAGGCGAGCCCGCCGCTGAGGTGAGTCGGGCCATCAAGAGCATTCGGGACCTCGAGCTGCGAGACGCAGCGACCGATGGCCTTCATGCTGCGTTTCCAAGACTTGAAGTTACAGTCGACTCTGCTGTGCCCGCGGCTGCGGCGGTGCGGGCCGCATCGCTGATCCCTGATGCTGGCGCGTGGCGGCATGCGGCGCCGCGTGCCGCGCGCAACGGCGCCGCTGCCGCTGGCGCGTCGCGCGCCGGCGCGTGTCTCAAAATCTCGCTGCCGCTGCGGCGGGCGCCTCTCCTGACGCCTGGCTGCCGCAGCGGCCCTGGAGGATTGGGCCTGGCACGCACGCCCAGCGGTCTCGCCGATCTCCCAGGCCCCACGTCGCGCTCGCAGCGGTGCGTGTCTGGCGGTGTGGCGCACGGAGGCCTGCCGTGCCGAGCTGCCGGGAGCGCGCGGCGTGCTCGCTGCGCCTCTGCCGTGTTGCCGTCGCCGTGGGCTCTCCCCGCCCTCGTCGCTGCCTTCGCCGCTCCCGCACTCCACATCCAACGGGCGTCGAAGCTGCACTCGGCGCCGCGCTCGAGCAGCATGCTCGCGGCTGCGGCACGCCGTCCGCCGTGGCCGAGTTGCCCCCTTGCGTGCTGGGTGCGTCCTTGACGCTCGCAACCGCCCGCTCCGGCACTGGTGTGTGGTGCGTCAGGCATGGCCGCGGATGGACAAAGATCTCTACAAAAGGCAGGTCCTCGTCGCTCCCAGAGTCTGCCCTCCATCAGCTCTCTCTCCGTCGCCTGCCTCTCCCGCCTCCTGCTCCGGCTCTCCTCTCCTACGCCCGTCGGCACCCACACGCTCTTCAGCAACTCCCTTACCATGCACGCCTCGCCTCTTCTTCTCGCCCTCGCGGCGCTCAGCTCGCTCTCCGCCGTGCTCGCCACGCCGACGTCCTTCGAGGGTGTCGCCCACATCCCGCGCCGCAACGAGGCACCGGTCTACAAGACCTGCCAGAAGCGCAACACCGTCGCGCTGACGTTTGACGACGGCCCGTGGAAGTACGAGAATGCGCTGCTCAACGAGCTCGACCAGGCCGGCGCCAAGGCATCGTTCTTTGTGTGAGTACATCGAGTCAGTGTGAGCGACTGTCTGCTGACCCACGCGCATGCCACCAGCAACGGCAACAACTACGGTGAGTCTTGATGCTACGAGCGGGTCACCAGATCTGTCTGACAACTCTTCCAGGCTGCATCTACGACCACGCCAAGTCGCTGCGCCGCGCCTTCAACGACGGCCACCTCGTCGGCTCGCACGGCTGGGAGCACCAGGACTTTACGCAGCTCAGCCGCAAGCAGATGCACTCGGAGCTCGCGCGCAACGAGCGTGCCTTCCAGAAGATCCTCGGCGTCAAGGTGCGTCGGCCAGAGCTGGGCCCGAGTCCATGCGCTGACAGCCTGTGCCACAGCCGCGCTACTTCCGCCCGCCGTACGGCAACCTGAACAACGACGTGCTCGAGGTGCTCAACGAGCGCGGCTACCGCGGCGTGTTCCTGTGGAACAAGGACACAAAGGACGCCGACGGCGCGGGTGCCGACGAGGGCAAGCGGGTGTACGACAACATCATGAACGCGGCGCCGCGCTCCGCCATGGTGCTCAACCACGAGACGATCCCGGGCACGGTGCACCGTGTCATGCCGTACGCGCTGCCTGGCCTCAACCACGCCGGCCTGCGCCTCGTCACCGCCGCCGAGTGCTCTGGGCACGGCTCGGACCCGAGCAACTGGTACGAGCGCGTTGGCGGCCGCGAGGAGCGCAACGTGAGCGAGCTGCAGTCCGCCCTCTGTCGCTGTGTACTGATGCTGGCTGCATGCAGGACTCGTGGAACTGCTGAGCCCACTCGCACCCACTCACCTCGATCGCGCCGCGGCACCTGCTGTTGCGTGCGCATCGCAGAGACCTCTCTCGACCTCCTCCTCCTCCGGCCTTTCTGCATTCACACGCCTCATCTTCGCATCGTCTCCTACCCGCTGTATCCCTATCGCATCGTCGCTCCGTCCCGACCTAATGTCATCTGCTCGCTTACCTGTGCCTGTGCGCTGTGCCGCCGCTGCAGCTTCGATCGCGATGCTGCACCGAGTGCGATGGAGAGGCACGAAGCTGGCGGGACGACGCAAGGCATGCGGCAATGACGGAGTAGCACAGCCACGCACACGTCGAGGAGCCGTGCCGGACGCCTCGGGTCAGCGTCTGTGAGCGCTGGGGCGCGGCTCTTCGGACAGCTGAGCGGACAGCCTGCTGCTGCTGCTGCTGCTGCTGCTGCTGGCATTTGCGGGGACAGCGCATCATACATCACATGCATCGATGCAGATGCAGCAGCAGGCCCGCAGGATCAGCAGCAGGAAGTAGAGTGCCCTCGCGACTCCGGCGTCCTCACACAGCAGCTGCATTGCGGCGCCAAGCGGCCCGTCATCATCGCCATCATCGGCTGCGGTGATGCTAGAGGAGGACCGCCTCGGCCCAAACGTTGGAATCTCTCTCGCAACTGGCCTCGCTGAGAGCGCACGTTGAGGTGAAGCTGGCCAGCAGCGGCCAGCAAATGAGAGAGGAGGTCGAGCAAGCACCACCCTGCACCTGATCGTCCGCCAAGATCTGGGCGCCGGGCATCGAGTCGCTGCCGCCTGTGCGGTCCCGGATAAAGCATCAGTCTTCTCCTGCCCGTCACCAGAGCTTGCAGCGGCAGCGGGCGCCCCCTGATCGCCCAGACCGCACGGGCTAGGCGGTAGCGCTGTATGTGCCTGACGGCTGGCTCCTGCCGAGTAAGATTCGATGACCGGCCCGACCCCACTTGTTCCTGACCGGGCCCGCGCCGGAGCTTTGGCGCCGGCCGGCCCGAGTGCAACAGCTAGGCAGAGCGGCAGCCGGAGGTCGCTGTCCTGCCTCTCCTCTGCACGCTGCAGCAGCCGCCAGCAGCTCCTCAGGAGGAGTTGCCCATTCGGGCGCGCATAGGAGTGCTCGGCGCCCAGAAGAAGGGCTGTGAGTGCAGCAGCTGCCCGCCACGAAGGCACTACGGTGGCCGGTCTGGAAGCGTCTCCTCTGGCGGCTGGTGTGGTGCCGGGGCATGCACACATCAGCCCATTGGGGTGCCTGCGCCTTTGGAGGCGATGCGCGGGCACGGGAGCAGCAGCCGCCGTCGCGGCGCACCCCCTGAGCAAGGCGGGCGCAGCACGCCCAAGGGGCACACCGCGCCGCCCCGCAGCTGGCCCGCCGCGCCGGGCCCCGCCCTCGGAGGCAGGGCTCGGACGTATAAGAGGTCCGCCGCTCCTCATCCCACGCCCCTCCCGCATCACCCCACTCCCTCTCCACTCCCAACTCCCCCTCCCTCCACCTCATCATGCGTGCCGCTGCCTTCTCCGCCCTCCTCGCCCTCGTGCCCTTCGCGCTGGCTCTGCCGCAGGACACCATCGTCGGCGGCATCCCGGCGCGCAACCGCGACCCCTCATTCCCCGCGTGCGACACGCCCGACTTTGCCGACGACGTCTACTCCGACTGGTTCAGCGGCGACGGTAACGCCTGGCAGGACAGCGACGACGTGAGTGGCGCGCCTGCCTGACTGTCCTCCTTGCTGACGCTCGTCGCCAGCCGAACTTCTACGTGGCGCCTGGCTACGGGGCCTGCAACTTTAACTACACGGACGTCACCGCCGGCGTGTGCCTCAAGCCCGGCTGGGTCAGCTCGGCGTACCACAACAGCTGCAATCGCCTCGTGGGTGTAGCTGAACACAGATGTTGAGCGCATGCTGACCCGCCGCGCTTCCAGGTCGAGGTTCGCCTGCCTGAGAGTAAGTATGGTGGGACAACGGTCGTGCTCGTCGAGCTGCGCGGCGCGCGGCGTCACACCGGCGCGAGACCTTGGAATGCGACACTGATTGCCCACGCCTCTTCTCCCCTTCCCCAGCTGGCATCTCGACCTTCGCTCGCGTCGTCGATGCCTGCGGAGCCCTTGAGACGACGACGTTCGGCTGCAACGATGTGGGGGCGCCCTTGCCGTGGCAGCGAGAAGCAAGGCTGACGCGTGTTACCAACAGATCTATGTCACGAAGAGGTAAGAAAAGGGGGCTGGAATGGAGAGAGCGCGGCTGGGAGGGTCAATTTTGAACGACGTGGCGTGTCCATCTCCCCCGCGTGCCAAAGCCTCCCTGCACCTCTTCCGCGCGCCACACCCTCCGAATGATTGCTGATGCGCTCCTTCCTCCTCCTCGGCTCCTCTTGGCCTCTTTTCTCCGCTTCGACAGCGTCTTTGAGACGCTGAGCGGCAACAACGCCAGCGCGCTCGCTGCCGGCCGTCTGCCCGGCCAGGCCGAATGGCGCTTCGTCGACCCTGCCGACGATGCCTCGATCACGATCAACATCGAGGCCACGCTCGGCTTCACCATCGGCCCTCTGAAGCGCGACCTCAACCAGCACCAGGTGCGCCGCCAGATGCAGCACGCCTAGGCAGCCGATGCCGCCGCGACGCTCGCAGCCAGCGCCCAACGCCGTTGCGATGCAGGCAGTGCCTCGATCCGCCTCTCCGCGCTTCGTCATGCCCCCATCCTAGGCTCGCGGATGCCACGCCGCCTGCCCTCTCCCTTTATGCTCCATTCACTTAATGCCATTAGTGCATATCTTTGCTCTCGGTGCCGACCATAGCCCGACAAGCCCAGCCTACTTGAGGTAGCCCTGAGCGCGGAGCCAGTCCTCGACGTCGGCCGCGTCACGCTGCTGCCAGCGCGCGTTGGCACGGACACTGTCCAGGCCCTGCGAGAGGGCCATGGCGAACTGCGCACGAGAATGTAAGACTCGGCGTCGCATGCGCCAGAGCTGGCTCGACACACCTTGTTCGTCGACTTGTCGGCGAAGAAGGCCTCGACGTCCTTGACGTCCTTGTCGGACGCGAGGGACGAGAAGGAGTACTTGATGATGTTCGCGAGAGAGAAGCTGTCACAGAGGGTGAGTGTCGGACTGGAAATCCATGGGGCAGGCGCCACTCACTTGCCGCTGAAGCGCCGCGTGAGCTCGTCGTAGTGCTGCTTTGTGGCCTCCCAGATCGGGCGGCGCGCGTACGAGTTGCCGGCGCAGCCAGCAAAGCTGTACATGACGTCCTGCGTCTTGACCTGCACGGGTCAGAGTGTGAGTGACCGCCATCAACGCATCGAGACGGCACGTACCTCGTCGGTGAAGGTGAAGTCGATGGTGCGCTGGATGAGCTTCGGGTCTTGGGTGGCGCACAGGGCGAGGTGCGCAGCGATCTTGTGCGTGGGCGTCGGGGGCTTGCGGTACACGGCGAGCACAGCCTCTGCCGGGTCGCGGTGGTCAGCGGGGCGCCAGGACCGCGGCACAGCCAACACGCACCGTACTCCGCCTCGCCTCCGTGCTTGACGGCCTGGCCGTAGATCGTGCGCAGCTGATAGGGGCTGACGTCAGTGCTGCACCGCCGAGACAGAGCCAACAGCTACGCACGAGGTCAGGGTGAATCTGGTCCTCCTTGCCGCTCTTCATAAAGGCGCTGAAGCGGTTCTTGCACTCGTTGAGCGTCCACTCGTCGCCGGCCGAGGCGGCAGCGGCAATGGCGACGGCGCGCAGCTGCTTCGTGTCCGGCGAGTCGTCCTTGCCAAAGTCGAAGCCCATGCGCTTGGCCGTCGGGCCAAAGACATCGGCGCGGTACGCATCGATGGCGTCGCGCACCGGCTGCGGCGCCTCGTACCACACGCTGGCCAGCTGGCTCAGGTTCGTGCTCATCATCGACTGCACGAGGTACGTGCCGTTGTTGCGCAGCTCGTACTGAAGCGCAAGGCTGCCAGACGTCTTCGCGTCCGTCGCCTTGGCCAGCGTGAAGGAGTCCGAGACAAGGCCGCAGACTGGAACAGCAGGTGAGTCTCAGGACTGGAGTGCGGGCTCCGAGGGACTCACCGTCCTGCAGGCTGAAGGCACCGTCGGTCTTTGCGGCCTCGGCGCCGAGCTTGGCCAGACGCTCGGGCGAGTAGGCGACGCGGTACACGCCAGTCGTGCCGGCGTTGAGCTTCCAGATGGCGTTTGACACGTCCTTGAGCGGGATCTCGCGCTCGCGCTCGAGGTCGAGGACCGTCTCGCTGTCCACCTGGCTGCCCTGCGGACCGACCGTCTTGATCTGCAGCGGCACGTACCACAGCGTCTCGTCCTCCTCCGGCTTGACATCGCCGGTGCTGAGGAAGCGGTTCTGGCGCACGACAATCGAGTCTGCCTTCTCCTCGACGGTGACGACCGGGTAGCCAATCTTCAGCACCCAGTTGTGCATGATGCGCTTGATGTCGAGGCCGCTGCAGGAGAAACATGTGAGTCGCGCTGACGCCAAGGCTGGCGCCGACAGCCTACTCACGAGGCCTCGCTGATGCCGGCCCACAGATCCTCAGTCGTGGCCTGCATAGACGAGAGGGTGAGCAGCGACCTCCGTGACATCAACGACAGACGCACATTGGCATACAGGTGCTTCTTGAGGTAGCGAGAGACTCCGTCGAGGAAGACCTCCTCGCCAACGATGCCGCTGGAAGTAGAGGGTCAGACGCCTTTCAGGACCCGAGTCGGGCATGCGAGCAGCACGCTGCGCGGCACACCTTCCCTCTCGCCAACCAGCTGACGCTGACTCACGACAGCATGCGGAGCACCGAGGCACCCTTCGAGTAGCTGATCGCGTCGAAGATCTGGTTGATTGCGTCCTCGACGTTGTCGCCCTTCAGCGGCAGCTCAATCGCGTGCGAGCTGCGCTTGCTGTCGAGCTCGAAGGCACGCTCGAGGTGCAGGGCAATGAACTCCGTCGCGCTGTCCCACTCGGGGAAGGCGCGGTCGAGCACGACGACCTCGCCCATGAGTGTGGCGAAGGCCTCGTTGAGCCAGAGGCCGTTCCAGAAGGCCATCGTGGTGATGTTGCCGAACCTGCGGGCAGGGAGGTCAGTGGCGTGCCGAGCTGCGCGTGGTACGTGACGCGCACCACTGGTGTGCGAGCTCGTGGCTCTGCACGCTGGCAGTGCGCTTCTGACCCTGCAGGCCGCTCTTCTCGTCGTCGTAGAGGTACACGCTGGTGCGGCCGGTGATGAGGCCCCAATTCTCCATCGCGCCGGCGTCAAAGTCGGACGCGACGAGCGTGTCGAGCTTCGGCAGCGGGTAGGCGATCTTGAAGATCTTCTCGTAGATCGGCGTCACCTTGGCGGTGACGTCGAGCGCGTACTGCGCCTGGTGGATGTACTCGCCGGTCGCGTAGATCTTAATCGGCACCGTCTTGCCCGTGATGGGGCTGACGAAGCTCGACTCGAGCGACTTGAACGGGCCGTTGGCCCAGGCGACGAGGTACGAGCTGACGAGCGGCAGCTTCTCGTAGCTCGTCACGCTCCAGGCGCCGCCGTCGGCCGGCTCGGCTGCAGACTCGGTCTTGCCAGTCTTGGCAAGCTCCGTCACGCCAGCCTTGACGCCGAGCTCCTCGAGACGCAGAAGCTTGTCCGCCTCGCTGCGCGAGATGGACTTGGTCGACTCGACGGGCATGTCTATGACACACATCAGTGCAGTCCAGATCTCGTGCCGAGGGCAAACTCACTGGCAAGCGCCACCGAGTCGGAGCGGTGGATCATCTGAAACGAGTACGTCGCCTTGGCGTCGGGCTCGTCGAAGCAGGGGAAGGCGCGGCGCGCGGCCGTGGGCTCGAACTGCGTCAGGCCGTAGAAGCCCTTCTTGCCCTCGTGCTCGAACGTGCTGCGGTAGTAGCCCATCATGCTGGCCTCGATCTCGGCCTCAAAGGCAATGGTGATGCGTGCCTTGGAGCCGGCGGGCAGCTGTGCGCCGAGCTTGGCGGTGATGCGCTCGTGGGCGGCGTCAATGTCGAGCTCGACGACGCTCTTGGCCTCGGTCTTGAGGGCGTCGGCGTGCACGATGGCCTTGTGCATGTTCAGGCCGGCGCCGGCGTTGAGCACGATGCGGTCCGTGGCGCGCACGACGTCGAGCTCGACGGTGACGCAACCCGAGAAGCGCAGCGCATCGAGGTCGCTGAGGATGGCGAGGTCGTAGTGGCGCGCACGCAGCTCGCTGGGCAGGCGGAAGTACTCCTCGCCGCCGCCGGACGTGGGCTCGGGCTGGGTGCTCATGGTGCGCAGGCTGGCGCTGCGGCGAGAGAGGGCGGCGAGGCGGGGAGCCGCGGCGAGAGTGCGGCGTGCAGGGGCGGGCGCGGCGGCAACGGCGAGTGGGCGTGCGGCAGCGGTGGACGTGGAGCGGAGAGAGGATGAGTGTGTGGGCTGCGGGATGCGGCGAGGCAGCAGACGACGCAGCATGCAGGAGAGGGATGGCGGTCAGAAGGACGTCGCCTTCTCGCCGAGCTGGCAGCCGCAGGGCCGCGCGGCAGCGGCAGCAGGCGGCGGGAGACACTGCTCCAGTGCCTGCGTCCTGCCGCGCTGGCCAGTGCGCACGCGACACCTCCTCGCTGCCGCCCGTGCACCTTGATTGTGCACCGCGACTGCCTCAGATCTCCATCGCCAGCTCAACGAGGGCCTTCTGCTGCCTTCAGGTGCTGAAAAGGCCATGAATCGGACGGCGCATCGATCAGCAATGCGCAGAGCGAGGCAGTGCACATAGGAGACGACACGCAGGCAGTGCGCACAAGCCAGCATGCGCGTCGACCAGGCCAGCCGCAAGAAGAACAAGCTCCCTGCCTGGGCGCGCTGCTGTCCTCCGCTCTCGCTTGCGACCGTCCAGCTGCTGGGCTGCAGAGGCGAGCGACGTGGCCCCTTGGTGCTGAGCAAGGCGTCATGCTCGCCCTCGTGGTGCCGCAGGTGTGCAGGACTGCCTGTCCTGCCGCGGGCTCGCCGCACCGTTGTCCCCTCTTTCCTCTTGCTTCTCCTTCGCCTTGTGCCTGCAGCGCTGTGCGACGACTGCGAGGGGCAGCGCAGCGCAGGTGCAAGCCTGAGTCGTCGGCTTGTCGCCCGCTCAGCTCGGCCGTTTCGCCGCGGCGGCAGCCACACGCGGCATCCGGCTGCTGCTGGGCCGGCGGCTTCGAGGTGCTGCCAGCAGCGAAGTCGTCGTGCAGCTCCTCGCCGAGTGAGGACACATCAGCAGCCTCTGCAGCACTCAGCCGCAGTGGCAGCTGACAGCGCTCAAGTGTCGAGCTGCCGCGGCGAGGGCTGCTCAGCGTCCGACGACTCTCGCTATCGGCCCTGCGGCGAATGCGGGGTGCAGCTGCTCGCTGCACCTCGGCACTATGGCGGCACGGCTGCGGTGCGGCCGGACCTGCCTCCGCGGCTCCTGAGCCGGCGGCTGGCGGTGGCCCATCACGTGCGCCTCGCCAGCGCGCCATCATGTCCGTGCGCAGCGAGCGTCCTGCTCCCTCCTTCAGCACCTCCACCCCCAGCCACACGCCATGTCCCAGCCGCCGCTGCCGCCGCTGCCGTGGGCGCTGAGCACGTACGCATCGCCGGCGCTCACCATGCTCGACTCGTCGCCCGGCCTGCCGCACGCGCTCGTCGTGCTGCCCGGCCTCACCGACACGCTCGGCTCCCTCCCCTACACCGACGCCCTCGTGCGTGCGCTGCACCCGCTCGGCGTCGCCGTCGTGCTGCCGCAGCTCAGCTCCGGGCTCGGTGGCTGGGGCGTGGCCAGCGTCGAGGCCGATGCGCGCGAGGCGGCCGCCGCCGTGGCTGCGCTGCGTGCCCGTGGGCGCCGCGCCGTCTTCCTCCTCGGGCACAGCACCGGCTGCCAGGACATCATGGCCTTTCTCTCGGCACCGCGTGCGCCCGAGTGCGCTGTGCAGGGCGCCGTACTGCAGGCACCTTGCTCCGATCGTCTCGACTGGGAGGAGGGCAGCGACGATGAGGCGGCACAGGCCCAGCTGGAGGAGGCCACGCGCCTCGTGCGTGCTGGACAGGGCAGCACGCTGCTGCCCCGTGCCGTCGCAGCGCCGCGGCCCGCACACGCAGTCGGCCGCACCGGTAGCGAGCCGATGGGTGCCAACGGTGCCAACATCACCGAGCCGCCCATGACGGCGTACCGCTACTGGAGCCTGTATGCGCCCGGCGGCGACGACGACTACTTCTCCGGCGACCTGCCCGAGTCTTCGCAGCGCGCCATCTGGCAGCGCGCGCTCGAGGGACTGCGCCGCCAGTGGAAGGACGAGGCAGAGGTGCCTGGCCGTCCGGAGCTGCTTGCCCTCTGCGGCGACGAAGAGTGAGTGCTGCGCTGCTCGACCGGGGTGCCCCGTGCTGACGCAGCAACGACAGCGAGTACATGCATGCGCCGTACCTCGCCGGCGCCGTGGTGTCGCAGTGGAACGGTCTCGCTCTTTCAGCACCGGATGCTGCGTTCGCGGCCATGGTTGTGCCTGCAGCGAACCACAAGGTCGATGCAGCCGCCGCTCAGCAGCACGTGGTGCACGCTGTCTGCAACCTCGTGCGCCGGGTGCTGGCGCAGCCGGAGCTGCCGGCACTCGAGAGCCTGACGCTCAGCGATGCACAGCGGGAAGGGCACAAGGGCGAGCATCCGCAGAGCTTCGACGCGATCGTCGAGCTCATCACGACCGGGCGCGCCGATGCGATCCCGGGCATCCGGCAGATTCCATCCAAGGTGAGAGCACGCACGCGCCTGCCAAGCCCAGCGCATCTGGCTTACACAGAAACGTAGATCAGCGATGCGCCGCCATCAGAAGCAGTGCTCGCGCGGCCACTGAAGCCTTGGGAGCGCCCCCAGGACGACAGCGCGCAAGAGCCGCACCATGCCGGCGCGCCCGCCATGTAACGTCAATTCCGTGTCACCATCCTCCGGTCCGGCGCACAAGCCCGCCTGCTGCTTTCTGATGTGTGTCATTCAGGCGAGATCCGGCGGCTTGGCTCGCCGGTCGCCGCGCCTTGAGTTCTTGGGTCGTGAGCTGGCAGCAGGCCGAGCGTCGTTGGGCGAGCTGCTGTCCGGCCCGAAGATGCGTGCGCGTGCCTGAGCGTACTCTTCCTCGCGCTGGGCCCGCGACTTAGCGGGAGCCACGGGCGCCGGCGCGCTCTCGGCTGCGTTCCTCGGCGGACGGGCCAGAATACGTGGCGGCGGCGCCGAGTCCGACAGCGATGGCGCACCCAGCGGCGGCAGGACGCGAGCGACGATGGGCGCTGCAGCAGGAGCGCTTGCGTTGCTGTTGCGCGGGATCGCGTCAGCCACGCTCGCTTGCTCGACTCTGCCCCGTGACCCGTGGCCCACTTACGCATCATGCCAGAGCCGCCGCTCCTGCTGCTGCCACGTGCCGCCTGGCCGTGCGAGCGGCGCACTGGACGTCGAGCCGACGGCGGGCCACGCCTCGGCCCATGTCTGCGAGTCGCGCGCTGCGGTTGGCGCAGCCGCTGGCCGGTCAGGCGCCGCAGTCGCGGGGCCAAACGCGCTGGGTCCGGCCGGCTGCATCGTTGCCGGCTCCTCGTCTACGTCCCACTCATCGGGCACGCTCGCGGCAGCTGCTTGACGCCGAGAGCGCGACTGCAGCCCCGCAGCGGGAGACGACGCCATGCTGCGAGAGGTGCAGACCGAGGGCGGGGCGGGACGGGCAGCACGATCGGGCGGCAGCGAAGGGCGACGAGAGCGCCGGAGGCAAGGAGCTGCAGTGCCGCACTGCGCCCGCTGCTGCTGCTTGATGCTTCGGGAGATGGACGACGTCGGGAAGCACGAGCGGCGAGAGCACGACAGCGCTTTGGCGGACCGGCGCGCGGCGCACGGGCACGCTTACGTAAAGCCCCCGTGCGGCGGCACTCGGGCAGCGAGCGCTGCTGACTCGCCCCGCTCCCTCCCACCTCCACCTCCCGCCGCTCACTCCTCACAACCCGCTGCACCTGCCTTGCGCTTCCTCATCGCTCGCACTCGGGTCGCTGCTGAACGCACAGGACGTAGCCTGTCGCACCAAGGGCACACGCTCAGCTTCTCGTGCCGCCTCGGCTTGCGGGCGTGTGCGCCATGTCTGAGCCCTCCGCCGTGTCCTTCTCCGACGGTGCCTCGCGCTCCTTCTCGCCTTCCATCGGCGGGCAAGTCCCCGCTGCGACTGTCCCTGCGGCATCGGCTGGTGGCCATACTGGCGCTCAGACAGAGATGCTCGAGGAGGATGTCGACATGGACGCGCTGCCGCCGCTGGCCACGCTGCCCATTGCCAATGTGGCGCGCCTGATGAAGCTGGCGCTGCCGTCGAGCAGCAAGATCGCCAGTGGAGCACGCGACGTCGTGCACGAGTGTGTGTGCGAGTTCATCGCATTCCTCACCAGCGAGGCCGCGGACCGCTGCGCCGAGGAGAAGCGCAAGACGATCAACGGCGACGACGTGCTCTACGCCATGCGCGCGCTGGGCTTCGACGAGTACGAGGCCGTCTGCAGCGTCTGGCTGGCCCGCTACCGGACAGTGAGTGCCTTGCTGCGGCGATGCTGGGCCTGTGCTGATTGCCTTAAGGCACTTGAGGCTGCACCGCGCAAGCGCTCGCGGAGAGGAGGCGCAGGTGCCAGTGGCGGGCAAGCGGGCCGCAGTGCCGGAGGTGCCGCAGGCGGAGCAGACGACGATGGCGAGGAAGAAGAGGAGTCGGACGAGGAGCAAGCAGCCGCGGCTCCGGGAGCGTCACGCAAGACTTGAAGTCGCACGTCGTTTGACGTCGCCCGCATGCTCAGCGCTGCAGAGTGCCCGCTCTGCTTTCCCCGACGCGCAGCCCAGCAGAACGGCGTGCTGCGCCAGGCCGCCACTGGCGGCGCCTCCATGCGTGCGCCGTCGGAGAAGGAGGTGGCAGAGCGTCGTTCCACCGTCACCCATCTGCCGCCTGCGCGACCACGATTCTCGGCAACACACCACATCCACGATACCCCCATGGCAAACGACATGATGCAGAAACGACAGCTGTTATCGCGCCTGCCGCTGTCGCCGCTCCTGCTGCTTGAGCTTCTTGCGCGGTGCGCTGCTGAGCTGCGGCTTCTGCACCTGCACCGGCTCCGGCAAGGGTGGGAAGAGTGGCGCGACCTTGGCGTCGCTGCGCTCGACGCGCACCTCGGGCCGCAGTGCCAGGCAGCTCTGCCACGTCGTCTCGTCTGCGCCGAGCTGCAGCGAGGCCTGCAGTGCCGCCATGCGATCCGGCATTGAGGGAGCCAGCAGGCATGAGGAGATGCGCAGTGTCTCGAGCGCCATGTACTGCGCTCGCTGCACAGCGTCGCGGTCGGCGCTGGGCCGCCAGGGCTCGAGCTGCGCCACGAGCTCATTGGCCTGACGCGATGTGAGCGGTCGGGAGCGGGAGGCGATGCAGAGCGTTGCTCACCGCAGCCAACAACTCAGAGACGACCTCGAGCGCCTTTGCGAGCTCATACGCGGCCATGTGCGCAGCGAATGTTTCTGAGCGCTGGTCAGCACACGATGCAGAGCCCTCCTCTTCGACCCACTCACTCGGCGCCTCGCTCAACAGACCACGCAGCTTCTCATCCGCCGGGCTCGGCTCGGGCCGCTTGATGACAGCCACCTGCTCGTGCTCGTCCTCGAAGAGGCGTGCCTGAACCTTGGGCGCCACCATGCGCGAGAGCAGGTTGCCCAGCTGGCCCTGCAGGTACTTCTTGTAGTACTCTCTCAGCGTACTCTCGCTCCAGTCTGGGCGGGAAAGCTGTCAGCGGGCCGCCAGTACGGTCACGCCGTCGGTGCTCACTCGAGTCGTCGGCGAGGCCGCCGCCGAGACGCATCAAGAACCACCGCACCTCGTCGACGCCAAAGCGCTGCAGCATCTCGAACGGATCGGCAACATTGCCGCGGCTCTTGGACATCTTGGAGTGGTTCATCGTCCAATGCCCATGCGTCACGATGTGCCGCGGCACGGGCAGGCCGGCGGCCATGAGAAAGGCGGGCCAGTAGACGGCGTGGAAGCTGTCGCAGAGTTAGCATTGCGAGGGACAGCGACCCGGCCTACGCACCGGACGATGTCCTTGCCCACGATGTGTGCGTCTGCGGGCCATGCGGACCCAGCCGGCACCTCTCCCGCTCCGCTCTCTGCCCAAGGGTATCCCGTGACGGTGAGGTAATTGGTCAAGGCGTCGACCCAGACGTAGATCATGTGGTCGGCGTCGTCCGGGACGGGGATGCCCCACTCCAGGCGCGCGCGAGGCCGCGATATTGACAAGTCACTGAGGCCTGTTCGCACCTCGGCGAGCACTTCTGCGTGTCTGGACGGCGGCAGGATCGCTGCGAAACCTAGTCAGCACTTGGGCAGCAGCCGCACCGCAGCGCGGCTCACCGTCCGGCGTGCTCTCGAGCCACTCGACGAGCGGCGCAGTGAAGGCGCTGAGGCGGAACTTGTAGTTGGCCTCCTCGTACCACTCGACGGGCGTGCCCGTTTCGATGCTGACCTTGCCCGTGCCGCCTTCGTCGGGCGTAGCATCACGCACCTGGGCGGCTGTGTAGAACGCTTCGTCCGAGACGGCATACCAGCCAGCGTGCGTGGACATGTAAATGTGGCCACGCTCAGCCAGGCGCGTCCAGAGCGCCTGCACGGCGACGCGATGCCGCTCCTCCGTCGTGCGGATGAAGACGTGCTCCGCGATGCCGCATGCCGACGCCAGCTCCTGCACGCCGGGCGTGAGTGGACGCTCACGCTCTTCTTCCTGTCTCACTCACGCGGAACGTGCCGCTGACTCGAGCGCACAGCGCCGCGGCGTCCTCTCCATTCGCGCTGGCAGCACGCTGGATCTTGAGGCCGTGCTCGTCGGTGCCCGTGGCGAGGAGCGCGCGGCTGCCGGGCCCGCCGCGCCAGGCGGCCCAGCGCGAGGCGACGTCGGCGAGGACGATGCTGTGCAGGTGGCCGATGTGCGGCGCAGCGTTGACGTAGAAGATGGGCGTGGTGACATAGTGCGGCTTGGGCGGCGCAGCGTCGCTTGCCAGGCAGCGCGCCAGATGCGGGCGGAGAGGCGAGAGCGCGCTGCGGCCGGGCAGGCGCGGCGGGCATGCCCAGCGACGCGCAGCGACGGCAGCGACAGGCATGGCGGCGTCCAGGCTGCGCGCTGCCGCAGCGTGAGGGCGAGAAGGAGCGGGCTGCTGGCACGGCAGAGGGAGTGGAGGGAGGAAGCGTGCCCGAAAAGACGCACCTGCATGTGCAGCGGCTGCTGCTTTTCCCGCGCACGGCCGAAGCACCGCCGGCCAAGTCGCGAGTCCCGCCGCGTCGCGACGCCGCAGCTGCACTTTCGCTTCTCGCCCCCACATCCTCCCATCCTCACGACCTCCGGCGCCTCGCCAGCGCCTACGCCCCCGACCTCGCTGCTGCACTGCGCTACAGTGCGCCATAGCAGTGCACTGCTGGCAGTGACCCGACACGACGTGCCGTGCGCCTGGCCCCATCTGCTTTGCGACTCGCCCCACAGCAGCCATGTCGGACGATTCGCCGCTCGCGGGCGTGAGTGCTCCTCGGCGCTGCGCCATCCACACGCTGCTCACAGTTGCCGCATCAGGTGCGCATGTTCGATGCCTTTCCCAAGACGGCCCCCACGCACCGCCGCACCACGTCGCGCGGTGGCCTGGCCACGCTGCTCGTCGCCGCGCTCCTCGTGCTGCTCTGCATCGGCGAGGTGCGCGAGTACATCGGCGGCGCGCCGGCCTTTGCCTACGACGTGCAGCGCGAGATTGGCAGCGACATGCAGATCAACCTCGACATTACCGTGGCAATGAAGTGTCACTGTGAGTGCACAGACAGGAGCGGATGGGAGGCGGTATGGGTGTGAGGGGCGGGTGAGAAATGCACGCATGCAAGAGGGAGGCATGAGCGAACCGGAGACGGCGGGCGACGTAGTGAGCGAGGCATGCTGAACCCAGCAGATGACGCCTCGAGGCCGGCACTGGACTCTCGGACTTGCGACTGACGTTGCGCTGCCCAGATCTCACGATCGACGTGCGCGATGCGGTCGGCGATCGCCTGCACATCACCGCGTCCGAGTTCAAGAAGGACGGCACGACCTTTGAGATCGGAAACGCTGGGCGTCTCGAGTGAGTCCCATCCTAGAGCATCACTGGACATGTGCTGACGCGCAGCAGCTCGCTGCCCTCGGCCGACCTCTCGCCGTCGCGCCGCATCTCCGAGGGTGGCGCCTCGCCCTCGCGCGGCTGGTTCAGCAAGCGGCAGCCGTTTGCGCCGACGTACCACGTGGTTCCCGATGGCCCCGCCTGCCGCATCTACGGCAGCGCCGAGGTCAAGAAGGTCACGGGCAACCTGCACATCACCACGCTCGGACACGGCTACTGGAGCTGGGAGCACACAGACCACAAGCGTGAGTGTGCTCTGGGCAGTGCGTGACCTGCTACTGACGCATGCCCCAGTCATGAATCTCTCGCACGTCGTTCACGAATTCAGCTTCGGGCCGTACTTCCCCGCCATTGCGCAGCCGCTCGACGGCAGCGTGGAGGTGACGCACGAGCGTGAGTCGCAGCATGACGAGCACTGCGCACGCCTGGCTCACAGCGGCGCGCAGACTTCCAGATCTATCAGTACTTCCTGCAGATCGTGCCCACGCGCTACGTTGACGCGTGGCGCCGGGCGCTGTCCACGAACCAGTACTCGGTGACGGACTACGCACGCGCCGTCGAGCACGGGCAGGGCGTGCCGGGTCTCTTCTTCAAGTACGACATCGAGCCCATCGTGCTGACGGTGCGCGAGCGCAGCGTGCCGCTGTGGCAGTTCCTCGTGCGCCTCGCCGGCATTCTTGGCGGCGTGTGGACGGTGGCGGGCTTCAGCCTGCGCGTCGGCGAGCGCATCGGCAAGGTCGGCTACGAGGCGCTCAACGGCAAAGAGGAGTCGCCAGAGCAGTACGCCCGCGCATATTCGTCGGCATACGACGTCGGCTACGGCGCAGTGCCCTCGACTGTATCGCAGCGCCCGCAGCGGCCCTCCGGCCCCACGCCATACGGCTCCGTCCGCAGCACGAGCCAGAAGTGGATGGAGCGCGGCTCAGAGGCCGTCGTGGGCGGTGCCAGAGAGGCGTGGAACGCAGCGAGCACGCTGAGCCTGCCGGGACAGGGGCACCGCAAGACGGAGAGTGTGCAGCAGCGCATCTTTAGCGGTGAGTCGCAGCAGTACACCGGACGTGGCGCCGATTCTGACATGCACCACAGAGGAAGGGCGAGCGCCTTGGTAGACGTTCGAGACGCCCTCCGGTCTGTGCTCGAACCGATGCTGCTACGCAATGCCACGCCAGTGATCAGACATGGTGCGGCGAAGGCGCGAGAAGGAGCCGCGGCTCATGGACTTCGGCGGCGACGGGGCGCGCAAGTCGGAGGTAAGTACAGCGCGACAGTACAAGAGGGTGTGCGCAGGAGGCCGCACAGCCGTACAGGAGGAGGAGACGATGCGGCGAGACAGTGTGGAGAGACGGAACAAGAGAGCGACGGGGCGTGCCTCCGGCGAGGCACGGGATAAGCGTGGCGGAGGAGCGGAGTGAGGCGTGATGTCGAGAAGGCGTGACGGCGCATGAAGCTCGTGTATGCTGCAGCGAGGCCGACCAGCGGCGGGCGGCGCTCACATCTTCTTGTGGCCGGGGCCGTTGCGCAGGCTGCGGCTCGAGCTGGCGTGCTGGAGCGCCGACTCGGTCTCGATGCCCGAGGCGTCCGAGTAGGCGTCGTTGAGGCTGCCGCTCGACTGCGGGCGCGCGTCGCGCTGGCGCATGCTGTGCGGCATGTATGCCAGCTTGGCGACGCCGTCAGGGCTGCCAGGCTCGGCGCCGGACGCCACGGCCGTGGCGCCCGCACTCTTGGCCAGGGCGCGGCAGGGAGCCATGGGCGACGAAGACGCCAGCGTCTCTTGGCCGTGCAGCTCCGTGCCCGCAGAGCTGGGCGACGGCGACTTGGGCTCCTTGGTGCAGGACTCGTCGTCGAGCAGCTGGCCCGACGACTCGGACACGACGAACTGCGAAACCTCGAAGCCGGGCATGGGGCCGTGGCTCATGCGGTGGTTGCGGCGCAGCGACTCGAGGTCCATGCCCTGGCCCTGGAACGGCGCCTGGCCGTCCACCTTGTCCTGGCGCGAGAGAAACTGCGAGTAGAGCTCGCGGCCCGAGGGCTGCAGCGGCGATGCGACGCCGTCGACCTCCGCGGCGCCAAAGCTGATGGACGAGCCGTCAGTGGGCGTCTTCTCATACGGACTGCTCACTCACCGGAATGCAAGGCGCTGCAGTGTCTCCTCGTCGAGGCGCTCGCCGTTGGCCACGCGCGTGCGGAACTCGCCGGGCAGCGAGCTGCCGATGCGGTGCAGGCTCATAAACGCACGGCTCGACAGCGCAACGTGACAGAGAAGCGTGAGAGACAGCGTCAAGTTGCGGACCAGGAGATCCGTCGACACCACGCAAAGCACGACCGTTCCGAGGCTGACCGGAATCGTGGCGATGAGATAGATGACAGCGTCCATCGTGAGCAGCCGCGTGAATGGCGTCGGCGAGCGACGCGCATAGCTGCGCATCTTGAAAAGAACGAGGGCAGCGACGACCAGGTCGAGCAGCGCCGATGACGCCCAGGCCAGCGCGAGCAGCGGGTCAAAGTGCGTCGGCATGCAGACGTGGCCCAGAACTGCGTGCCGTGTTAGAGCGGAGGTGCGCCAGGCTCGGCCAGCACTCACGCGGGACGTTGGCGCTGCGCCAGGCCACCCAGTGGATATCGACGAGCCACAGGCCACACTGTACGATCCACAGCGACAAGATGAGAAACACGAGTGCCGGATGGTGATTCCAGACTGCAAGTCGTGAGCGGAGGCTGCACAGCGCGGCGGCGCTGTCACTCACCCGAGCTGGCGCGCAGCGCAAAAATGGCGCTGCTGGACGAGATCGAGATGCCTGCGCCGCGTGTGAGTCTCGGCGCTGCTTCATGTTGTAGAGCGACTCACATGAGAACACCACCAGGGCAGTCCACACCTGTGAGCGCGTCAGCAGCGGCCCCGCTCCGCAGCCCCGCGCCACTCACCCCGCGGCAGCTGATCGCCAAGGTACTCTGGAGCAGAAACGAGCTAGTCACGAAGACGGCCGTGAGGCTGAAGCTGTGGTGATGCAAAAGCAAGGCACAGGTGAAGAGGCTCAGTAGTGCTCGTCGCAAGCTGCCATCTTGCTCACCGAGCGAGGAGGAAGAGCACGCCACTGGGACGCAGCTCGAACTTGCCGCTCAGCAGCGCCCAGTCAAATGCGATGGTGCCGAGGTAGTCCTTGGTCCTGCAGAATGCCTCAGCTCAGAGGCGTGGTGGAAGAGGCGAGCCTGTGTGCACTCACCACCAGCCGGCCTGCAGGCAAGTGAAGGCGAGAAAGACCTGGCCGAGGCTGGGTGTCCGTGCGTGAGCCGTACGACCCCTCGAGGCGCCCGAAGCGCGCTCACTCACATGAGCTGGTGGCGCATCTCGCCCGCGCCAGAGGCGAGAAGGCCGACGAGGCCCGCCGCGTCCATCGCACGGGATGCGGAGCAGGCCGGCACGGAGGATCTGGCAGTGCTGGTGCTTGTTGAGGGCACCCGCGGGAGAGGGAGCAGAGCGGAACGTGGACAGGAGAAGAGACGATGCGAAGAGCGAGCAGAGGGAGACAGGGACGAGGGAGAGGGGATGAGAGCGTGAGGAGGAGGTGCAGCGCCGGCGTCTGGCGCCACCAGAGTAGCCCAAGGTCAGAGAGCGCAAGGCGCAGCGTCGTGCGTCGGGCTCGCTCCTGCTGCCGCTGCTGCACATGCCACGCTCAGCGCCGTGCTGACCTCGCTGCTGCGCTGCATCGCCACGCTCCGGCAGCGGCTGGCTGCAACCGCTGCTGCGCGCTGATGCCATGCCCCGACATCGCATCAGGAAGCGGCGCAAGAGCGGTCGGCGCAGCGCCGCAGGGGAAGCTCGACTGAAGCGGAAGGTCCTGGGTGCGCATCGGGCAGGCAAGGCAGAGCAACGCCGCGCGGCAGCCCCTGACGGCAGCCCGTCGGCCGAGCACAGCCGCACCGCCGACGCAAGCTCGTAGCATCCCGCCTGCGGCGTGGCAGGCACAGACAAGAGAGCGATCATTTCTTGTGTGATGCTTCGTCTCCATGCCTGCAGCATCGACTTGCACACGCTACAGTCTTAGGCGCGAGAGAGACGCGAGATGCACAGCTCCATGTCGTCTCGCAAGCTCATGCGCGGCGCCCAGAGCGTCAGATCAAGGCGCGCGCTCTGCGCCCGAACGTCGTCTTGCTCGGCCTTGGCGCCGCCTCGCATGCTTTTGAAGAGCAGACGGTCTCGTCAGCCGCAGCCAATTTTCTCGCCCGGCGACTGCCAACTCGCTCGTCGACTCGGCATGCGATGGCGCATCGGATGACGCTGAAGCGTGGGACGCATGCTGGAGCATTCGGCGCAGCACGACGCCGCTTCCGCCAAGACCGGCGCGCGCCACATCCGCGGAAGATTTCTCGGGTGCCTCTTGGCACACGACCGCGCCGCTACCTCGCAGTCGTCGTCGAACGCTCAGCGCCGCTTCGCAACGCAGCCTGCAGCACGACACTGGAAGAGCTCCTGTTAGAGTTGCATGCTGCGGATGCCTCGGCCGAGCTCAGTATCTCCAAGCGAGGCCAGCTTGCGCACGCTTGCCTGTCGTGCTTTCACACAAGGCCTGCTGCGGCGTGGCCTGTGCAGCGCAGCCGGCGCCCAAGCAGGGTCCGCATGAATTCATCGTCCGCGGCGGAGCGACACATGACAGCAGCGCTCAGCATGGGCGTGCAGCGGGAGGGTGCATGCATGGGCGGTGTCTGGCGGAGTGGACGCGCAACGCTGGTGCTGCAGCGGCAGCGTGAGGAGAGAGAGAGATGCGAAGCGCGCTATCTCCGGCGCCGCGTCTTATCGCGTGCCGTGCCGCCGCGCGTTCTTCTCACCTCCCGCCACAGCCGCTCCCGCTCCCGTTCGCGCTCGGACCATGCCGGCACAGCGCAGCATTCGCCCGCTGCCAGCGTCTGCGGCTGCGGCTGGGCAGCGTCATGTTCCGACGGGCAGCACCGCAAACGCTGTGGTGCCCAGCAGAATGACACGGTCACACGCTCTGCGCCGGGTGAACTCTCTTCAGCGCCTCGTCTGCGCTGCCCTCTCTCACGTTCTCGCGACACTGAGCTGACGCCGTCCGGCGGCTTATCGCGTGGAGCATGCTCGCTTCGGCCTTCGCCTCATTAAGAGCAGCGCGGCCCGCTCTGTCTTCGCTCCCGACCCCATCCACTCGCACACCATGTCCTCCGCCGCCGAACCCATCCTCTCCCAGGGCGCCGGCTGGGCCGTCGTCATCGGCCTCGGCCTCGGCTTCTCGGGCATCATGCTGCTCATCACCGCGGCGCAGGAGCGCTACACGGGCCTCAGCGTGTCGAACCAGGACGAGTTCTCGAGCGCAAGCGTGCGTTCGCCGTGACGCTGCACTTCTCTCTAGCCGCTGACGATGCGCCTTGCAGCGGAGCGTCAAGGCCGGCCTCATCAGTGCAGGTATCGTCAGCGCATGGACATGGTCGGCTACGCTTCAGGTTTCCACGGCAGTGTCTTACCGGTGCGTCTGGCCGCAAAATAGCTTTCTCTCGCCTTCTGACGCATGGAACGCCCTCAGCTTCGGTCTCTCTGGCTCGCTGTGGTATGCCGCCGGCGCCACATGCCAGGTCCTCGTATTCGCAATGCTCGGTGCGTCCTCCCGCTCTTCATCGCGTGGCCGAGGCTGACCCGCCTGCACACAGCGGCCAAGATGAAGCTCAACGCGCCAAACTGCAGCACGTACCTGCAGATCATCAAGGCTCGTTGGGGCAAGCTGGCGCATCTGATGATGCTTCCCATGGCTCTCGGCGTCAACACCCTCGTGGGCCTCATGCTCGTGCTCGGCGGCAGCGCCACGGTGACGTCGCTCACCGGAATGCCGGTCATCGCCTCGTGCTTCCTCACTCCGCTGGTCGTCTCCGTCTACACGGTGCTCGGCGGCATGCGCGCCACGCTGCTCGCAGACTACTCGCACTCGGCAGTCCTCCTCTGCATCATCCTCGTGTGCGCCTTCTCCGTCTGGACGCCGAGCCTGTCGGACGCCATCGGATCGCCCGGCCGCATGGTCGAGATGCTGCAGCGCGCCGCCGAGCTCGCTCCCGTCCACGGCAATGCGCAGGGCACGTACCTCACCTTCCGCAGCCAGGACGCGCTCATCTTTGGCATTGTCAACATCTGCGGTGAGTAACAGGGGTGCTTCGGAGGTGCGCGGCAGAGCTAGAGCCTTGCACGATCTGACGCTCTTCTCCTCTCAGGTAACTTCGCGACTGTCTTCGCCGACCAGTGCTACTCCCAGCGAGCCATCGCTTCCAACCCCGAGACGGCGACCCGTGCATTCATCCTCGGAGGCCTTGCGTGGACTGCGATTCCGGTGAGGCGCACGCCCAACATCAGCTTGTCCTCCCTTCTGACGCCTCTTCTTCCGCCCAGCTCACGATGGCGACTTCCATGGGCCTTGCTGGACGTGCCCTCGTCAACCAGAACCCGGCGATGCAGGTGCTCACGCCTGAGCAAGTCAGCGCCGGCCTGCCGCTCGCAGCCGCTGCAGTCGCCATCCTCGGCAAGGCCGGCGGTGCTGCGATCCTCGTCATGCTCTACCTGGCTGTCACCTCGGCCGTCTCGGCACAGCTCATCGCAGTCTCGTCCGTGATCACGTTCGACGTCCTTCCGTACGTGCAGAGCAGCCCCTCGAAGCGCACCGTGTCTGTCGTGTCGCACGCCACGATCGTCCTGTGGGCCATCTTCCTCGGCGCTATTTCGAGCGGCTTCAACTACGCCGGCGTCGGCATGGGCTCCATCTACCTGTGGGTCGGTCTCCTCGTGGCGCCGGCCGTGGGCTTCGTGTACGCGTGCCTCGTCTGGAAGCGCGCCAACCGCACCGGCGCGCTCATTGGGCTGGCCACCGGCTTCGTCCTGGGCATCACGGCCTGGCTCGTCACCTGCAAGACGCTCTACGGCGAGCTCACCGTCGCGACGCTGTCGATGGACTATCCCGTCCTCGCGGGCAACCTCGTCTCGATCCTCCTGCCGATCATCATCATCCTGCTCTCGACGTGGTACGCGCCAGACAACTACGACTGGGCAGAGACGCGTGCGATCAACGCGCCCGTCGACTCGCTCGAGGACTCCGCTCCTGCGACGCCGGAGAAGGCCGAGTCGATCGCCGGCAAGGAGCAGGACGGTATGGCGAACGAGAAGGGCACCGTCAGCGTGCACAAGTACCACCACGTGCTGCGTTCCGGCCTCGAGTGAGTCGACTGCTCTTGCCAAGCCGTCCAGACGCTGACACCTTTCCTCCGCGCAGCCCTGTAAGCTCACTCGAGGCGCAATTTGCCGCTCTGCACAGTCGCTGACGCCGCTTCGCTTCCAGGTGCAACTGAACCGCAGCTTCCGCACTGCGGCCTGGGTCAGCATTCCAGTGTCTCTCATTCTCCTGATCCTCGTGCCGGCGTTCGGCTGCATCCCGGCCGTCTGGTCGACGCAGGGCCTCAGCGCCTGGGTCGGCATCTGCATTGGCTGGCTCTTCGTCAGCATGGTGCGTCGCTGGTGTGCATCATCTTGTGTGAAACGCCTTGCTGACGCCGCCTCCGCCGCAGTTTATTGTCGTCATCCTGCCTGTCTGGGAGTCGCGCCAGGCGCTGGCGCAGATCTTCGCCGGCATGTTCAAGGACCTGACGGGCGGCAACGGCCGCGTCGCGCGCACGAACTAGAGACCCTCGCGTTACCCCACGTCCTTCGCTTCACGAGCCTGTCACGACGACACGAGCAATGTATCACACGTCACTTTGCTCATTCTGCGCGGCGGCCGATGCCTCTTCGGCGAGCTCCTGCCGGCGCTTGCTGGCCCACTCGCGGGCGCGCTGGAGACGCGCAGCTTTTGCCGCTGCAAGAGCATCAGCATCTGCAGCTTCCGGCGAGTGCGGTCGCTTGCTGGCCGACTCCTGCGGCAGCGTCGGCGGAGGGCCCGGTGCCGTCGGTGCTGCGGCCTGCTCTTCTGCTGCTGCGACCTGCTGCGCTTCCGCAGTCGCCCCGTCGCCCTCCCTGCCAGACGCTCCGACCTCGCTCTCCTCACTGTCCGAGTCGTAGCCCACCAGCAGGCCCTTCTTTTCCTCCTCGAGCGTCACGCGCTCGCCGCGCAGTAGACGGTCCCACTCTGCCCCCCAGTGCTGCTCGCGGCCGCGCCGTAGAAAGCTGAAGCGTGCGTCGGCCCCGTGCCCGGCGAGGATGCGCATCTGTAGCACATCCGGCGTGCTGGACGAACGGACCGCTGCAGCTGTGCGCTCCATGAGCGCCAGCTGCGGCGCAGTAAGCTGTGGGAAAGGCAAGGTCAGCCAGGTACAAAGCATTACGCATTGGACCTACGAAGCGTGACCTCGCGCATCCACGACGCGGCGACAGCAACCCGCGGTGCCCCGTCCTCACAGATGTCGCAAAACCCAGCCTCTCTCACAACCAGCTCAGCAGCATTTCGTTGATGTACCAGATATGCATTGCATCGCAGCACATCTAGCTCGTCGCACCTCGGCAGACTCACCTTCCATCGGTCGCGCTCCTCCTGCGCGCGGCGCTCGCGCTCGGCCCGCTGCGCCTCAGCCTGCTCTCGCTCAATACGCTCGACACCAGCGATGCGCTCCTGGCGCTGCCGTTCCTGCTTGGCGCGCAGATAGACGGCGACCTCCTCGGGCTCGAGGTCTGCCAGCTCGGCCTGCTCCTCGGTGCTGAGCGGCGGATGCGTGGGTGCGCCGGGCTCGGGCGGCGGCGTGCGTGTGCGTGCCTCGTCGTACGGCACCGAGGCGTGGAAAGCGTCGCGAGGCGGCGGCGAAGGCGAGGCGCTGCCGCTGGCGCTGCGCAATGCCGGACGTGCCCAGAAGGGGTCGGCCACGTCGCTGTCGTCGGGCTCGTCGGGCAGCGAGAGGCTGCCGTCGGAGTCGGAGGAGAAGACGCTGCCGCCGCGTGCGGCACCGCTGCGGCGCACTCGTCTGCTGCGCCGAGTGGAAGGACCCGCATGCGGCGCCATGGCTGCGGAAAGCGGCAGCAAGCGGAGATGGTGGAGGTAGCAAGGGAAGGCAGACGTGGCCCGACGGCGCCGCTGCTCGTGGAGCGGCGCGCTGATGCTGCCTGTGCGGCGCGGAACACGGGCTTGCCGCGACGCGCGCACACACCTCGGCGCCGCTGGGCCTCGGCCCGTGAATGCGGCTTCCCACCACCACCTCTCTCCTCTCCCCTCGCACCATGGCACAGAAGTCTGCCGCACGTCAATTCCTGCTCGACCTGCTGCTCGCCGGCGTCACCACCGCCGCCGGCCTCGTCGCCTTCAAGTACATTCACGCACACTTCGACCCCGCCACACAGAAGCGCGATGCCGCACGCCGCCTCGGCGACGAGAAGCTGCGCCGCCTGGGCCGCCGCGTCGAGCTCGACGAGTGGGAGGGTGAGTCGGCTCTGCAGAGGTGCTACAGGAGAGCCGAGGAGAGCGCAGCAAGAATGGTGCGACAAGCTCACGTGGACGCAGCGCGAGAGCTGCGAGTGAGGCAGCGCGGGCGCAGCCCGGCAGCTGCGGGTCAGTGAGGAGGGGCGCCGAAGCGACTACGTAGGAGCGGAAACGACGCTGCAAGCGGGCATGGTCAGAGGTCCGCTCATATCAGAAGCTGCTGAGTGCGGACACAGCGAAGCGAGTGCTGGCTGTGGGCCAGCAAAGTGCCTGCATGCTCATACAAGTCGTGGGATGTTGCTGGAATGAGCGCGTTGGAGGCCTGAAGATGCTGGCCCGCTCTTGTTGCGTCGCTTCAAGGGCGACTCCTGTCCAAATGCCGCATCGTGCTCGTCGCGAGGCCTCGCGCAACGTGGCTCCCTCGCACGGCGCCCTCCCACACACGGTCTCTCGAGCTGACCCGTGACCCCTCACAGAGCAAATCGCTACCGAGCTGATCCTGCCCTCGCAAATCGCCGAGTCTTTCGAGTCAATCGGCGGCCTGGAGAATGTCGTCTCGAGCCTGCACGAGGGCGTGATTGCGCCGCTGTGCTATCCCGAGCTCTTCTCGCAGATGACATCGGCAGAGGGTGGCAGCGGCGCAGGGCTGCTCGGCGCGCCGAAGGGAGTGCTGCTCTATGGGCCGCCAGGCACGGGTGAGTCTTGCTGGTATGCGACGATGTCGGTGAGGTCAGGGTGTGACTAGTGAGGAGAGGAAGCTACGTTCGAGACACCAAGCTCAGGCGATGCAGATGGCACGCAAGCCATGCACGCGCGGCGCTCGTAGCTTGCGTCTGCTGCTAAGCGCTTGGAGCGCCTGTGCCGCCTCTGCAACTCTCTCTGCTGCATCTGCCGCATCTACGCCTGCTGCATCCAGTTCTTCGCTGACGCGGCCGTTGCTTAGGCAAGACGATGCTCGCCAAGGCCCTGGCAAAAGAGAGCGGTGCGACCTTCATCAACATGCACGTCTCGACGCTGACAAACAAGGTGCGCCCGCCGTCGACCTCTATCGCATCTCCTCTCACGTGTCTTTCTGCCACAGTGGTTTGGCGAGTCGAACAAGCTCGTGGCCGCGCTCTTCTCTCTCGCTCGCAAGCTGCAGCCGAGCATCATCTTCATCGACGAGATCGACGCCTTCCTGCGCGACCGCGGCAGCGGTGACCACGAGGCGACGGGCATGATGAAGGCCGAGTTCATGACGTGCGTCTGTGCGCCGTTCTGCTGCTGCTGCCTGTACTGACCACTGAGCATGCAGCCTCTGGGACGGCCTAACGTCGTCATCCGATCGCATCCTCGTGCTGGGCGCCACGAACCGGCCAAACGACATTGATGCGGCCTTCCTGCGCCGCATGCCAAAGCGCTACTCTGTGCCGCTGCCGGACGCCGTGCAGCGCCTGAAGATTCTGCGCCTCATGCTCGCCTCGTCGCGCCTGGACGCCTCGTTCAAGTACGAGCCGCTCGTGGCGCGGACTGAGGGCTGCAGCGGCTCGGACCTCAAGGAGCTCTGCCGCGCTGCCGCCATGCAGCCGGTGCGCGAGTATCTGCGCTCGGGCAAGGGCAAGGCAAAGGTGCTGAGCCTCAAGGAGGCGCAAAAGACGCGGCGGATAGAAAGTGGAGAGGCCGAGGAGCGAGAGAAGGCGACGGTCGAGACGCGGCCGATTCGGAATTCAGACTTCTTCGTCGTCGGTGAGTCGCGCTGCCGCGCCACTCTGACGATCATGGCTCATCCCAGACGCGTCTCTCTCGCAGAGGGCAACTCGGCAGTCGGCACGAACGCTGGAGCCAAGAAGGGCTGATCGTGCGCAGCGATCTGGTGTTTTCGACACGCTCCCTCGCACCTCTCGCGGAGCCTCTTGCGCCTCTATAGACCTCAGCGCCGCGCTCTCCCGCGCCTGGTAATGCATGCTGCGCACACCCGGCCGCACGTGCAAGCTCAGATCCCGCGCGAATGCCTCGAGCACGTCTGAGCTCGGGAGGAGATGCAAGCACGCGTGTCATTGGCTGACAACAGGGTGCGAACGACGTGACAGAGCAGAGGGCAGGGCGAGGAGGAGGTCAGAGCAGCGGCGGCGGTCACCGGTTCGCCAGCGCCGGCGTGCCTTGGCTCTGCGCCTGCTGCTGTGGCGGCTGCGAGCCCTGCTGCTGCTGCTGCTGCTGCTGCCCTTGGCTCTGCTGTGCCTGCTGGCTCTGTGCGGCCTGCTGCGCAGACGACTGCGACTGTGATGTCTGCCCAGCCTGTGCGCCTTGCGGCGGCGGCGCCAGGCCAGCAGCTGCGGCAGCGGCAGCGTTGAGCGGCGCCTTCTCCTCGAGCAGCTCATACATCAGCACAAACTCTGCGTGGCGCTGTCAGCCCTCTTGCGGAAGTGCAACGCAAGCGACGGCGAGACATACCCTTGGAGACCTTCTCCCAGGCCCGCGGGTCGAAGAAGAGGTACGTGCCGCGCTCGTACGTCGGCGTCTTCTGACTCGGCTCGCCGTGCTGCGTGAGCCAGAGCTGCAGCTCGCGGTGGAAGCGCCAGTTGCGCTGATGCCTGCAGGCGTGAGGGAAGACGGCGTGAGCGAAAGCAGCGCGATCAGCGACAGCATGCCACGCACAACTCCTGCGCAGCCACCTCCTGCAACAAGTCGCGTGGCGCCGAGTAGAAGATGTAGAAGAGCGTCTCGTCCGTGAAGTTGGCCACCTTGCTCGCGGCCGGTGGCGGCGGCTGCACGTTGTAGCAGGACGGCAGGTGGAAGTCGGGCTCGACATGCAATGCAGCAGCCAGGTTGTTGTCTGCCCATGGCGTGATGAAGTGCGAGTATAGCGCACTGTGCACGGCATGAGCTGGGTCCAGTCGGATGTGGAAATGCGCGGCGAGACTCACTCTTGGCCTTCGATGCCCAGCCCAAGGGCCTGCAGGTCCGAGCCCATCGCCAGCATGCTCATGTCCGGATCTGCCATCTTGATGATGCCCAGAAGACCTAGCAGGCCAAAGCGATCTGCTGGCGAGTGCAGGATCTGCGCAGCTGGCGTGGCCAGCTCGACAGCTCCGCCAGTGCCGGCACCATTGCTGCTGCCTGCGCCTCCGCCGGCGGACTGCATGGCCGACAGCGAGGAGAGTGATGCATCGGAGAGCAAGGAGCCGTTCGCCCAGCCGAGAGACGCCGAAGGCATGCCGGGCTTCGTGGCGTAGTTCTGGACGCCGTCGTCAGGACGTCGGCCGTGTTTGCTCGCCGGTCAGAGCTGCAGACTCACCCGCTCAGCATCGCCGAAGCCGCCTCGTGCTGCGTTGAGCGGCTCGACGCCTCTGTTCTGATTGCCGGCCGCATCTTCGATGAGCGCCTCTCTATGTTGTTCCCGTGCTCTCAGCTGCGCACGCAGCGCTGCCGCCGCGCTTGCCTGCTCGCCGGCTGCATCTGCCGCGGACTGGACGTGCGCCGAATTGGTGCCAGGTGCGCCAGCTGCAGCAGCCGCGGCGGACAGTGCTGGAAAGTCGTCCGACGACAGAGCCGTGCCGGGAGCAGCGCCGGCGCCGGCGCCTGGCCCGCCGCTGCTGTGGCCCGGCCGCGCGTGGCCCAGCGAGCCGATGCCAGGCCCGTAGAGCGAGGCAGAGCCGCTGCTGTTCGAGCTCGACGCGCCGCCACCGCTGCCGCCGCTCGCAGCACCTCCAGGTGCCGTGCCGGCCTGGCTCGCGTAACTGCCCGGATGCGCCTGCTGCTGATGTTGCTGCTGCTGCTGCTGTTGCTGCTGCTGCTGCTGCTGCTGCGCCTGGGCATGAGCGTGCGATGCGGGCACATTTGCGCCCAGCGCCGGAAAGTCGCTCATGTCGATGGGTGCTGCACGTGCGGCGCTCGGCGCAGCGGCGCCCGGCGTCGTGGCGGGCGCGCCAAAGCCGGGCGGCGGGCGCGGGTAGGCCGTGTTGGGCGTGCTGCGAAAGGCCGCCGCGGCAGCAGCCTGGGCCTGTGCATCGGCAGCGATGCGGAACGCCGGCGGCGCGCCTGGTGCTCCGGCCGCGCGCATGGCGGCGGCAGGAAAGTGCGACGAGGGCGAGACGGGCGTGGAGAGGCCCTGCGTCGACGCAGCGGAGAGGATGGAGGGCGAGGGACGCGGCGGCGGCGGCCCTGCGCAGAGCAGGCGTCAGCGGTGCGGCAGCGCAGCAGCAGGCGCCGCGACTGCGTCCGGTGCTCACCTGGGCGCTGCATGCTGGGCAGACTCGGAGCGCGCGTGCGGAGGGAGAGCGGGTGCCGTGATGGTAGCTAGCGAGAGAGCAGCGGAGCAGCGGCGGCGGCGGCGTGGCTCGAGAGCGCTGCGCTTCGGCCGATTCGGCGCCGCGGCCAGCCTGAGAGCCGCCAGGCTGCGCGCGTGCGACTGCCCCGCTGTCGCCGTGCCGCCCGGCCTCTGGCGCTGGCGTGCCTCGCGCGGCGCCGGCTGCCTGCTGCACGCCGCCGAGCCCCTGCGCCGACACGTCGGCGGCACGCGCCAGCCTTGCGCCCAGACCGCACGCCGCTCGCAGCCCTCCTTCCCGCTCCACCACTCCCTGCTCCTCGCCCGTTCCTCGCTTCTGCTGCCCGCCATGAGCGACACTGGGCCTTCGCGCGACGTGCGTGTGCCCGCATGCGCCTCGTGCCCGCCCCTCTGCGCTCCCCGCTCATGCCGCATCCGCAGGAGCTGCCGCTCATCTTCCGGCATCTCAAGGCGCAGCGCAAGGAGAACCGCGTGCGTGTCGCACGCCGCCGCGCCCGCACCTGCAGCACGCTTGCTGACGCTGCCATCAGACGTGCTTCGACTGCGGCGCCAAGAACCCGTCGTGGGCCAGCGCCACGTATGCCGTCTACATCTGCCTCGACTGCTCGAGCGTGCATCGCAACCTCGGCGTGCACATCACCTTCGTCCGGTGCGTGTGTGCTGCGCGCCTGCCGCTCGCGCGCTGCATCCGCACTGACGCGCACACGCACAGCTCCACGAACCTCGACTCATGGACGTGGACGCAGCTGCGCCTCATGAAGGTCGGCGGCAACGGCGCCGCGACCGACTTCTTCGCACGCCACTCCGGCGGCGCCTCGCTGCTGGCGCCTGGCACCGAGGGTGCGACCAAGTACAACTCCTCGGCCGCACGTGCCTACCGCGAGGAGCTGGCACGGCGTGCGGCGGCAGATGCCAACGGCGCGCCGACGTCGTCCCGCGTGCTCTTCCCCGGCATGCAGGGCCTGGAGAGCGCACCGAAGGCGGCTGAGAAGAAGGCCGACGAGGAGGACTTCTTCGACGACTGGGACACGCCGGCAAAGCCCGCCGCTACGCCAAAGGCGGCGGCTGCGGCCAAGCCGGCTCTGCCGGGCATCGGCATGCGCCCTGCGCCGGCAGCAGCAGCGCCGAAGCCAGCAGCTGCCGCACCTGCCCCCGCGCCCGCACCTGCTGCGCCGGCTGCGCCCGTCACGTCGTCGTCGCTGCGTCCGGCAGCAGCTCGCGGCGCCTCGGGCTCGTCGGCTGGCTCTGCGCTTGGTGCTGTGCGCGCCAAGCCCAAGGCTGCACTCGGCGCCACGAAGCTCGGCGCCTCCAAGCTCGGCGGCGTGCGTCGTGGGGCAGCTGCACCCGTGCTCGACTACGAGGCGGCAGAGCGTGCAGCTGCTGAGAAGGAGGCCGAGGCCGCACGGCTCGAGGCTGCCGCTCGCGCCGGCGCAGAGAAGGACCTCGCCGAGAAGATGGCGCGTGCTGCCATCGCCGCCGCCGGCGCAGCAGAGGAGAAGGCCAAGGCCAACGTGGCTGCCGGCGCAGCGAACAAGCAGGCGAGCGCCGAGGGCGGCAAGGTCGAGCTGCAGCCGAAGGAGGTGCGGTTGGGCGGCGAGAACGAGCGGTTGGGCATGGGCTTCGGCCGCATCGGCGTCAGTGCGGAGCGCGTGAGGGAGCGCGCAGAGGCAGAGAGGAAGGCGAAGTACGCTGCTGGTGAGTCGAGCTGCGGAAGAGGTCCTGAGTGCTCAGTCAGGAGGCATGCGGCGAGAGGGCGGAAGGGATGCGCCGTCTCGGCGAGCCGCTCCTCAATGTGCATCGCCGCAAAGCTGCGAAGCATCGAGGGCAGGCCAGCGCACGTCTTGACGAGACGAGTCGGTGCATGTGCTGCTCGTCATAGGCTTGCGTCGACATGCTTGCGCACTGCCACAGTGTCAGACTTCTGTCGGCGCTCGTCATCGAAGCGACTTGCTCCGTCGATGCTTGCATGCTCTGTGCGAGCGATGCCTGTGCCACGCGAACTTTGCTTGCTGCGGCTCGTTGTCCCCTTGCGCCTGTGTCGCCCTCGCCGTCGGCTCCTCTGACATCTCCCTCCTTCCAGTCGCTGCCGACACGCCCGACTATGCGCGCTCCAAGTTCGCCGGGCAGAAGTGTGCGTTGCCCAGAGCCTGCCCTTCCTGCTCCACGCGCTCACCTCGTTCCCGCTCAGCGATCTCATCCGACCAGTACTTCGAGCGCGGCACGTACGACGCTGCTGCAGCGTCGGAAGCGCAAGCGCGCCTGACGTCCTTTGCGGGGCAGACGAGCATCTCGTCGTCGCAGTACTTTGGGCGCGACGAGGACGAGGAAGGCCTGCACAACGGCGGGCCGCCAGCTGCCGACGGCGAGTGGACGGGCGACTTTGAGCAAACGGCCAAGGAGTACTACGAGCGCTTCATGGCGAACCCAGACGTGCAGAGCGGCATCGAGTCGTTCCGGACGGGCGCACTGAAGGTGCGTGGGCACGCACGTCGCGCCGAGCGCAGAGCTGACCTCGAGCCTCCTCGCTCCCCTCTCCCTGTCTCGCCCCATCGTCGCCGATGCTTCTTGCTTGCTCGACGGCCATCTCCGCGCCTGCTCTGCTCGTCACGCGCAACACGGTGCCTCCCACTCGCTCGGCGCCGGCGTCGACGCGCAGCTCGGCCAATACCTCGAGGAGATGGCTCGCAACGGCGGCTAGACGCAGCGTACACACGCAGTCGCCTCGCTCCCTGCTGCAATGGACATCTCTCTCGCTCTCTCGCTCGCTGATGTCACACATAGAAGCGCGGGTATGGTGATGCATTTGGTGGCCGGGTGGTGGTACAGAGGAGAAGGTTCGAGGCCGGGTGGTGGTACAGGAGAGCCTAAGATACAGACGATGGACAAGAGGCTACCAGCGGCGTGCGCGCGGCGTGCGATTCATGTCGACGGCATGGCCGTCCGGCGTCTCACGCATCGGCGAGCCCGGCCACAGATCGCCATCGCGCTGCGGGGTGCGAGGCTCGGCCGGCAGCGGCTGACGGCGCTGCGGCTCGTCGCGATCGTCACGGCGCATGTCGCGCGCGCCGACGTTGGGGTGCGACGGCTCGTCGCGGTCGTC